GGCGGGTTAAAAAAAGCAAAACAAAGACAGCCGTTCCGACAAGTAACATACGTTTTAAAAGCAGATTATCTGACTTCAGCATTGTTTTTGAGCTAAACAAGAATGTCCACTTAGCATGTTTCTGAAATATCTGCAAACATATTATGGTATTTTTATGCATTAGAAGAGTCATAAACTAATATAGTAACTTTAAATTGGTTCAAAGTGTAAAAACGTTCAAAGTGAGTAACATATTTTTGACTGTGTGTCTTCTTTTTTTCAGGAATAAAAGATAGAGGAGCGCCACCTTTGCCACCAATTCCCAGATGAAATGGCTTGACTTTACTGCTGAATAATGATTGAATTCTGTCCATTGTTGTTTCATGCATTTTGAAAATATCAGTTTAGAAATACATCATTAAACTGCATTCTGTCATCAACTGAGAGAAAAGTTTGCTTAACTTGAAGTTTCCAATGGTACAATTTCCAAGTTTAAAAGCCTCTTAGGATAAACATGAAATAGGGTATATTCCAAGCTAGTGTTGTTCCCATACTAATAAACATCCGTTGACCTGTTATTGTGAATCTTTTTCCATTTTATGCAATTCCTTTTACAGCATCGATGTGTAATGTCATTAAAATACATTCAGTTAAATAAACTTTGGCATTTATTTAGCTGTTTAAGTGTAAATCGAGACAAAAAGCCGTTTACTTGCACGCGCCCGTCAGAATCGGCAGGCTAGCGCAGAAGCTCCATTGAATATACTGGGGTAAAATAAATGCTCATTTTATAAAGACATGGCGGGGGGAAATGTTGTTTAATTCAGTGCTTCTTGTACAATCTGAGACCCACTTTATATTGTTTATCACTCAGCCAGTGGAGATCGCTGATTTTTAAAGAAAACAGACCTTAAATGCGCTGATTCTTGCATTGACATACAGTTCACCAGAAGCGCTTTACCCAGGTTACTGGCAAATTAAAAGTCCTATTAGATTGCTTAGGCATATACTGTGGGGCCATTGTGATCATTGTCTTTGTAGTTTATGCCGTTGTTTTGCCGCAACATCACAGAAATAAACAACTCACTCTGATTACGTACCCCTACATACATATTACATATACATATATATATATATACATACATTTTTGGCGAATCCACCAGAGACTGCAGTGTACGCTTTTTTAGATCTCAAATTTCGTGTAGTTATGACACGGGCTGAATATAAATGTGAAAGTTGCAAAGTGTTAAATGTACAAAATGTTCAAATAACGCTCTCCAAAAACTTTCCTTTGAAGTTTTACATAGAAGACTAAAATACTGTTAACCCAACATTAACCAAATTAACCCAACGTTAATCAGTGTCATTCAAATTTAATTGAAAAATCGAACCCAGCATTGTTTGTCCATATTTGAGCCAACATTTAAGTAAAACAACCCAGCATTATTTTTAGCTTCAGATAAACCACAAAAAAATGTGATGTGTACCCTTTACCGTGGCCTACTAATTATAAAAGGACAAACATGAACACTGATGAAAGCCAAAAGGTCATTGATGTGTTTCCCGAGGCCTTATATAATAGCATTTTATATTTTATGTAGAAGCTATTTTAACAGTTTTACTGGAGAATATCTGAAGAACAATGTTGAAACTACACTGTGTTATCTTGTTTCCCTTAAAATTGCATAAACATCCAAAAAACAAAACACCAAAATGACTATATACATAATATAAGTATGCTATAAATTATATAAATATACAAAATAGCATTAGATACATAACTTCAACATTATTTAGACTTAAAAAAAAAGTTTACACTTTATTTCAAGGTTACAGTGAAACTATTCTACTGATAAATATTGATTATTGACATGCTATAGGCTCTTTATGGTTATGGTTAGTACCATGCAATCATGCATAGTCAAGTTTAATTAGTACAGTAAATGCATGCAACATAAGAAGGACGCCTTGCAATAAAGCAATGCAGGTTCATGTTGGTTACGTACCCCTATATACATTTCTGGAGAGCATCAAATACGTCCCAGGAGCTCCGTTTGTTTGTTTTCGTGAATCTACCAGAGGCCACTGTTTATGCTTTTTCAGATCTCAAGTTTCTCTCACGAGTGCCATTCGCGCCTGCTGTTCTCGTGTAAATTCACTAGAGGCTGCTGTCGACTGACCGACTAACTGACCTATTACTGACCCACTCTCCTCCTTTCCTGAACCCAGCCGACAGTGTTGGCAGTGTTGACCACATTTTTTTACAATTTTACAACATCTCACCCTGGTATTTACTTGTTTATTTTTTGCCTTATGTTTTTGTCTTACCTGCTTTCTGGAACCGTTCTTCAACAGAATTGAACTTCTGTTAGTTTTCACTACTATGAACTGTGATGTATTGGAGTGTGTTATAAACCCTTGCCGAAAACTACAGTATTGGATAATTTGTCAATATTACAATAGTTGTTGTATCAGAAATTACAGAATTAGCACAACAAATTAAAGTAGATTGTCGTTCAATAATACGGTAATATTTATTATAGTATTTTTTCAGGTATAGTGCAACAAAGATTGCAAAAACCAGTAGAGTTAATCAACAATGCTGCAGCCTTTATGAAAATGTTGTTTTTTTTTCAGTTGACACATGCAGTCTTCACACCTACTTGTATCGAATACAGGAAACACGTCATATAAGAAGAAGTGGTCAAGTGTAAATGCTACATGTGAGTTAAAAAAATAAAGTAAATTGGGACAGACCTGTGACATTAAAGCTGTGAGGAAGTGTACACCGCTAAATGATGCTAACTTCTGCCTGACAAATTACTGAAAGTCTGGTGTAGGCCGACCTCAAACGGCAAGGTCATATGATTTCAGTAAATTAGGCCTCGTTAAAGTACTCATGAAATCAAATTTAACCGTATTGATTTTGTTGGCTCACACTGCTAGTTTTGAGCTGAACAATTCATCTGTGCATGTCATTAAGAAAAGCAAACTGTTTTCCCTTGTAATCTAAAGGCTCTGTTTTAATGATCTAGGCGGAAAAGTATTAAGGGTGTGTCTATATCCACTTTTGCTCATTTAAGGATGGAAAAATATGATCTCTGCCTCGGTGCATGGTCTAATAGGGTTGAGCTTATTTTCTTAATGAGTTCTGGGTGTATTAAATAAAATTAATTTAGAAATAGTGACTTACTTATGGTGATTTAACTAGTGAAAATACAACTATACATATCAAGTACTATTTATTTTTATTAGTGCAAATGTAATTTCTTAGATTAAGGCTTTGATTGTTGATATCAGGAATTAGTTCAATAATTAGTTCATTAATTTTCCCCTCGGGTTAGTCCCTTTATTAATCAGCATTAATGATTATTCTGTGGCCACAGTGGAATGAACCACCAACTCATTTAACATTTGTTTTACAAAGCGGTTGCCCCTCCAGCCCCAACCCACACCCATACACTTACAACGAAACACACTCACAAAGCAAGGAAACCCACTCAAACTCGGGGAGAACATGCAAACTCCACACAAAAATGCCAACTGATCTAGCTGGGGCTTGAACCAGTGACCTTCTTTCTGTGAGGCGACAGTGCCACCGTGCCGCTCTATCAGGACTGATGTTATTGATATTGACAATCAGCATTCTGGATATCAAGAGATGAGTTGTTGATATCAATAAATCATATTCTGCAAATTAATAAACAAAACGACTCGCAAAAGATTTCGGATGTTATCAGTTCATCAGGGTCAAATGAGAAGTTCTGCATCATTCGTTATTATTTAGACAGAAATGCCTCCCTCTATCGGTCATTACAACACAGTACAACCACCACCTCGGACGTTTTGTAAGCCGTCAAGTTAATAAGTTGTCTAGATTTCCAGAATTAATATACAATGTATAAAATCGAAAGGTTATAAACGTATAATCGAAAGTTGCCATTTTTATTAAAGTAAATTATTAGCCTAATTGATATTTTTTATTGCACAATTCATCAGGAACATATGAACAATACAATATAAAAGATGAACATAAAAAATAATGAAATAATAGTAAAAAACAAACAAATTAATTTAAAAAATGTAATTCACAAAGCATAATGTAAGACACTTTTATTTACATCCAATGATGTTTTGCAATGATGTTATCGGGAGAATAAAAAAATATATAATAATAGATTACATTAATAATACATATCTCAACAATATTTTTTGTTTTGCTCGACAAGAATTTCACAGTAGAAATTAAAAAAAAATCTGAATCTGTACAGAAAAAATACTAATGTGGGATGTGAAATTTTGCCAATAAAATAACAATATTCAAGACTTTTGTTGGATTTGTTTTCATAATAAACATTATATCTGTTTATGTAAAATAATAGCTAAGCTTTCTCGCTTTTAAATATATATTCTATTTGATCAAAAAACATTCAAAATATAAATGACAAATGGCGGCTCTCTTTATCTGCATTACAGAAACCATGTCCACCTCAATGCATTTTGATAATAACGATTTTACTGGGTAAACTGCTCTTTAATTTTTCTTTAATTCTTTATTTTCTTTAATTCGTTAATTTTATTGTAAATAGAGTATTTTAGGGGGTTTAACCAGGCTCTTTTCCAATGATGATAAAGTACTTTTATTTTGCAATATTTAGTCTGTTTTGTGTTTATTCAAAGTACCACATGATTTGGACTCTTTTCAACGGATTAATAGAAAGAAATACAAAGATACAGTCATAGTGGCTAAAAAGTTAAGTTATTTGAAAAGTAAACTTGATATATTTTGGACATGCTTTGTGTAGCTACGTTGCTCAATCCTTTTGAGTATTGTATAAGACTATATACAGGCACTTTATATACTTGAATAATTTGTATTTATTTATTTATTTTGTTGTATTTGTATGTACTGTTAAAGATGTATATATGTATACATTTGCTTTTGTTTAATTTGATAAAATAATAATGAAACGGACCACGTGAAAAAAAACATGCGCATGCGCACTGTCTTCGCGTTTCTATTGGCGCGCTGAAGTTCTTTTCGTAATGGTTGCTTCACCGCAGCAGTGTGTGTGTGTGTGTGTGTGCGCGTTTTCAGATAAGAAGACACATGCTACAGCCCCCCCCACACACACAGTCACACACAAACAGAGGAAAGCCGATGCGGAAGAGCAGTTGTGGATCTGAGAGGAGACAACATGACTGAAAGTGTGTTACTGTGTTTCCCCGATCGGATTTACCCCAGAATCAGCTGATCCGGTGAGTCTGTCAACAACTCAACACGACACGCTGATCTCAGGACAGCAGGTGTTCAGAGATTCAGCCCTTTCACATGCTACATTTTACTTTGCTAATAATGTAAATACACACACCATGCTAATAGGAAACGCATTAACGTTACAGTAGTCAACCCTCGAAGTGACTGAGGTAAAGTTGGTTTTATACTCGCACATTCGTTTATTTTCTAACAGTTAAAATTTGTGAATGTTCCCATTAAGTAATGTACTTTAAATATTCGGTCTGAAATTGCGTGTATGGCTTTAAAACAACATTAGCACTATTTATTGACTGAAAAGTTGTACTTTGATGGTCATTGGCTGCTAATATGATTCATTGAGGTGAAGTTGGTCTTTTATTCGCACATTCGGTTGACAACTTGTGACATATATTGTTTACCTTGGTACTTTGAATATTCAGACTGAAATTCCGTGTAAATATGGCTTCAAAACAACATTAGCACCGTTGAACAGTGTTGTATTTTGATAGCCATTGGCTGTTAGTCATTTCACTCTTTAGGATTGGCAAATAATACTTTTTTTTTTTTTTTTTAATTAGTCGTCGGTTTTTTTGATACAGCAGCACATACAAATACAGTATCAATCATACAGTGGGAAAGTAAAAAAAAATAAAAATAAAAAGGGGACATATACAAACAAGTAAACATGGTAATACAGTCAGCATATATATATAAACACAAACACACACACACACATATATATATATATATATGTATATATGTGTGTGTGTGTGTATATATATATATATATATATATATATATATATATATATATATATATATATATATATATATATATATATATATATATATATATACACACACACACACACACACACACACACACAACAGTTCTCTCTGGTTCTCAAATCTGATTGGCTGATAGCCGTGCGATATTCTGCAATATCAGAACTCCTACAGCCTCTTTACCCTTTGTGTATTAATCCGCCTACATACAGCCAGCAAAAAGCAGACACTACACGTCTGAAGTTTAAAAGATGCTTGCTCAACTGTTTAACTGTCAGCTTATGATTTGAATCCGGAAGAAAGTAGTTCCTCATACAAAAGGCTTTTTGAGACTCTCCATGTTTGATTTTGTTTTTATATACACAATTATGCTGTCAAACTGTTGTATAAACGCAATATCCCACTCGTAGCAGTGTGATATGGCTGTATATCGGCACTGGTGGGGGCACTAAGGCACTCTGCCTGCGGCCTCATGTCAACACACGCCACCCCCCAGTGCCGATATACAGCCATATCACACTGCTACTCGTGTAAAATTGTTCATATATATCATAGAGTAGAAAATCAGGAGAAATTATTGATGTAATGCCAAAAAGGTGTCCATAGCTGCCAGAAGACATCTGACTTTTGATGTATATCATAAGTGAGTTTCTCAAGTGGAAATTACGCACATACTTGAGACAACCACATTTTAAAGGAAGGCACCGGAGGAGATGACCACAATAAAAGTACATTTCTTTGCCAGATAGACCAAAATTAAGAACAGGTGTTTGGTGTGGGGATCCAACACATTCTCTACTCCATCATACAACAAATACAATTCTAGAGAAAAACTGAATTTTATCTGAACGAGTCCTTGTAGAAAATGATGTACTTTCTTCCAAAAAGAGATGATTTTGTCACAATACCAGAAACAATGAAGGAATGTTCCTCTGCCTTTTTTTGCAGTGAAAACAAAGATCAGAGGAGTTTCTATAAATCTTTGTCAGATGCAAGGGTGTTGGATAAACTCTGTTAATGAATTTATAATTGAGCTCATGAACACCCAGTGAAGTACATTTAGAATACAAGTTTTTACATATTTCAGAACAAAATCTGTATCTTCAATTTCGTGACCCAAATCTTTTTCCCACACACACTTCAAACTCTCAGATATTGAAGTTAGACAGATATTGTGGATATTAGCCCTTTGGCAATACTGTTTGTTACAATTTGCTCTATGGCTACAAGTTAAAATCTCAGTTTACCCTTATCGGACAAAGATTTAATAAAATGACGCAGCTGAAGGTATTTGAAAAAATTGGATTGTGGTATATCATATTGATTTGAAATTTTTTGGAAGGATTTAAGTGTGCTGTCTGTGAAGAGGCACGATAATTTTTAATCCCTGATTTGGATCAATTTGAAAAAACAATATTTTGGAAAGATATTGGAAAATCAGGGTTAAAAGCAATCGGTGGGCAAATAATACTTTTTAAAATGTTATTATAGAGATAAAAGTCTGAATGTGCGAAAATAAAACCAACTTCAATTTCAGTTCAAATCACTTCAAATTTTGACTACTGTATACTTATATGGTGTTGTTTACTTGTACAACCTACAGTTTCAGAAAGTATTATGAATATTTGGTACGTTACATGTAATTAATCGTCCAGTAACTACCTTCTGCTCTTATATGAAACATATTAGCAAAATATAAATTAAATACTATGTTTTTTTTAAACCATACTACACTACCTGACAAAAGTCTTTTCGCCTATCCAAGGTTTGGGAACAACAAATAATAGCTTGACTTCTAGTTGGTCATTCGATGTCAGAAGTGGATTATATGAAAGGCAAAGGCCTCTAGATGACGCTTATTTTCCCAAATAAAAAACAATTTTGAATGATTTCATTAGGACAGTAAGGTCTGACTTTGCTTAGACTAAAGTCTCATCACTTAACAGAAATAATGTCCAGTATAGAATATAAAGTCCTGCTGCAGTGGAGACAGAATGAATATTGTGTCTGACTCCATCATGAGCTTGGAGGACTGCATCCATACATCTCTGCACTGACTCAAATCACTGATTAATAAAGTCATCTGGAATGGTGAAGAAAGAGTTCTTGCAGGACTCCCAGAGTTCATCAACATTCTTTGGATTCATTTTCAATGCCTCCTCCTTCATCTTACGATATATTTTCTCCTCATAGTATGCTAGTCAATAATACTTACGTTAATTAGCATAGCTGACTTTGTACCTGATGCTGTTTTGATTGGAACTCTGCCATGCAAACTATTTTTGCCCAGTCTCTATAAACACATGTACACTCACTGTAACTGAGGCAAGTTGGAAATATTTGAGAAATGAAATACTTTTTCACACCACTGTATTCCACCCAAACTGAGTGAAGTGAAAATAAAGACATGTGAAATCATTTAGCATCACTTAAAAAGTATGTAAAAAAATGTAACTTGAGTGCGAAGAATTTTAAACTACAAATTGACTCATATTAACAAAACTCATATGAGTGTGTCCTAACATAAAGTCGAATACTACTTTTTTCTGCTTTTACCCTTCATATTTAGTTACTTCCTGATTGCAGTAAAGCTCAGGATGGAGGATCTGTTGGGGAACGTCTCCGTCTCCAGCAGGGATGAATCTGGCGCTCCGACCGTCCCGCCTAGCATGTCCATCGACAAACTCCTCCCGGCCCTGCTCGAATGTTTCGGGATAATTCTCTGCGGATATGTGGCGGGACGCACCAACATCATCCTGGCGACTCAAGCTAAAGGACTGGGCAGTTTTGTGTCCAAGTTTGCTCTTCCGGCTCTGCTTTTCAAAAACATGGTGTTGCTGGACTTTGGGGACGTGATCTGGCCCTTTTTCTTTAGTATCCTGGTGGCCAAAGTGACCGTTTTCTTTTTCGTATGTGTATTAACGCTCTTGGTGGGGAATCGAGAGAGCCGTTACTCCAAAGCTGGCCTGTTCCCCATTTTTGCAACGCAGAGTAATGACTTTGCTCTTGGATTCCCTATTGGTGAGTAGAAAAGTACACTTAAAGAAATGATGTTTGCTGTTTGTTCAAATGACTTATTTAAAACGAGTTGAAATGACACTATATTTTGAGTCTTGTTTGGGACAACTTAATTAACTTAAGCTTGATTAACTTAATTCCTTTATGTTGTCCCAACACAAATCAATTGTGTGGAGCTCATCATTTTTTACAGTGCATATGGAAAGCAAGCATATTAGGAGCAAAATTTATTTTGAAATGTAATCTGCAAAAATGACAATGCCTTTCTTTATTTAAATAAAATTATTTAATTATTAAATACATCAATAATTTATTATTATTAATATTTAAATGAATAGTTAAATAATAACATTATTTTAAAATATTTATTAGTACTTTAATAATATTAGTAATTTTAAGTAATTTAAAATGCATGTATTTCAAAAATATATAATAAAATAACGGTGGCGCAGTGGGTAGCACGTTCGCCTCACAGCAAAAAGGTCACTGGGTCGCAGGTTCGAACCTCGGCTCAGTTGGCGTTTCTGTGTGGAGTTTGCATGTTCTCCCTGCGTTCTTGTGGGTTTCCTCTGGGTGCTCCGGTTTCCCCCACAGTCAAGACAAATATTACATATTTAAAAGTCTAATTGACGTATGTAAAAAAAAATATCTTAAAACGATTTTATCTGCACACAGGCAGCCTGCATCATTGGAAGTCAATCGGTGGCTTCATCGGAAGTCAGTGTTTACAGATATCCAGCATTCCTCCAAATATCTCCTTATTTGTTCAAAGCAAGAAAGAAACTCGGTTTAAAACCACGTAAATGAGGAGAAAGTTTTCATTTTTGTGTGAACTATCCCTTTAAAATGTCTTACGGAACTAAAAATATAAGAAACTTTACTAAAAGACCTAAAGAGAGGGAGTTTTCCTTTTACATGTTTTAGATATTTGCCACATACCATTTCAATCCTGAAAGTCCCAAAGAGAGGGAATTTACCTTTTTGTTTCTATCATCAGCCAACTACCGTCTAGACTCGAATTATCTTCCTCCTTTTGCTCCAGGAAATCTTTTCATGAATGTCAACCGGTTTGTTTTTGTGTAATAAAATCAAATGCAGCATTGTTCATATTTAAACATGACTTAAAGTACACATGAAATCAAAACCATATTGATTTTGTTATCTCACTTTGCTAGCTTTGTGGTGAACAATTCATCTGTGTAGTCATTAAGAAAAAAACAAACGTTTGCCCTTATAATCTAGAATTGAATCTGAAAATGCACTTCCTGTTTGTGTTAGCTGTCAGTTTTGACAACAAACAGAAATGGTGAGCATGAGGAGTCTGTTAGGCTGTTTTCCCGACCTTTCTGAATGAAATGCCTACTTTACTACATCCAATCAGCTCACAGTAGAAAAAAAAACAAGCCACGCCCACTGTTTTCTCATTTAATATTCAGTTTCTCTCGGAACTGCATCACAAAAAAAAAAAATGGATGCGGCTTCTGGTTCATGCGGACTATAAAGACAAAAAACAAAGTTTATAAAATGTCAGTTTACATAAAAGATCACCTCTGACGTTGTGCTGAATGTCTACTTTTGTAAAGAAGGAAATAGTGATGTGGCTTCGGAACAAAGGTGAAGTTTAGAAACAGATTTTTTTTTGTATCGCTTTTGAAAGAAAAGAAAGTATAGAAAAGTGAGAGAATAGAAAGAAAGACAAAGAAAAATATAAAAAAGAAAGGAAGAATAAAAGAAAGAAAAATTTGAAAAGAGAAAGAAAAAAAGTAAGAAAGAGAAAGAAAGAAAAAAATAAAAAGAACAGAAAAAAAGAATAGAAAAAAAGACAATTAAGAAAAAAGAAAGAAAACAGAAAAAGAAAAGAAAGAAAAAGGAAGGAAAAGGGAAAGAAAGAAACAATAGAAAGAAAGAAAAGTTAAGAATAAATAGAAAAAAGTAAGAAACAATAGAAAGAAAAAATGTAAGAATGAATAGAAAGAAAGAAAGAAAGAAAGAAAGAAAGAAAGAGAAAGAAAGAAAGAAAAAAAGTGTGAAAGAAAAGAAAAAAGAGAATTTAAGAATAAATAGAAAGAAAAAAGAAAAAGAGTAAGCAAGAAAAAGAATGAATAGAAAGGAAAGAATAGAAATAAAAGAAACAATAGAAAGAAAAAAGAAACAAGAATAAATAGAAAGAAAAGAAAATAGAAAGAAAAATGAGAAAGAAAGTAAAAGAAAGAAAAAAGAATGTAAGAAAGAATAAGAAAAAAAGTAAGAACGAATAGAAAGGAAAATAAAAAAAGAAAAGAATGAATAGAAAAAGAATAGAAAGAAAAAAGAAAAAATAGAATAGAAAGAACGAGAAGAAAAAAAGAGAAAGAAAAAGTAAGAGAATAGAAAGAGAAATAAAGAATAGAAAGTAAAAGAAAGAATAGAAAGAATGAAAAGAAAAAAGAGAATATAAGAAAAGATAAAAGAAAGAAAAAAAGTCAGATTAGAAATAATAAAAAAAAGAAAAATCTAAAAAGAAAGAAAAGAAAGAAAGAAAGAAAGATGCATTTCACTGATGGCAGAATTTTTTTTATCTTTTTTTGTTGACTATTCTCTTAATAACTGTGTTAAAAATTCTCTTCTTGTTTTTCCACAGTGGAGGCGTTATACCGCAGCACACACCCCGAGTACCTGCAGTACATCTACCTGGTGGCTCCAGTCTCCCTCATGGTCTTAAACCCACTGGGCTTCATGTTCTGTGAGGTTCAGCGGAGGAAAAACGGAGAACCCAGCCAGCAGAGCAAACTGCACGTGCTGGGTCTGGTGGTCCTGCAGGTGTTCAAGAACCCCATCGTCTTCATGGTGATGATCGGGCTCGTGTCCCACTTCCTGCTGTGCCAAAAAATCCCCGCCTTCATGGAGCAGTTTGTAGATGGTCTGGCCAACTCGTTTGGAGGTGCAGCGCTGTTTTATTTGGGGCTGTCCATGGTGGGCCAGCTGAAAAAACTGACCCGCACTACTGTTGTGGCACTGATTCTTCTTATTACAGCCAAACTGTGAGTCGGTCATTTCTTCTCTTTCTTTGAGGAACATTGTTTTTGAACATTTTGATCATTTTCTCATTAATTTGTTGGCAAACTGGTGATCCACAGCCCATCTCTGCTCCTTAAGGACTAGACCTTTCTTTGATGCTGCTTTTGTACCAAATCATAATTACAATCCCCTGACCTGTTGACATCACCTGTTACAAATCACATCATCGTTTTTTCCAATTTATATGATTACTAGCCATAAACTGCTCCTGTCACTGTTGCCAGAACCAAAATTGGAATGTGTCTTTATTTTGAAAAAATAAATAAATAAAAATCACTAGGAACTAGGCTTGCGCTGTATCCAAATACTTTCAAACCTCCTCCCTATTTCACTTCAGTATACGGTATTACCGTGCATAATAAAGTAAAATGATGTAAAGCTCAGACAGCGTCACCACTGTTGGCTTGGGCCTAAACCATTCATAAACTGAATACCGTATATGCGGATGCGCAGTTGCTCGGGAGTGATATTGTTAGGCCGCGCGCCCGCTCCCGTTCAAATTACACCAGAGTAACCAACCACTCCCCCACGGTAAGACAGTTGGTTGGGTCCCGTGGCTCCCGTGGTACAGCAGCGGGAATGCAGACCTCTAGTTCGTATTTACCACGTCTCCCTTCTCGTTTGGTTGTAACCCGAAATACTGCCAAACTGCAGAGGTTGGGGTTTTTTTTCGAGACCAGGTCACTTGGTGCGCGACTCGCCATCTTACTTCACCTCTCTCTTTATCCTCCACACCGTCCCATGATGACAATCACGCATACGCATTTGTAGGCATTTAATAAATAATATTTAATATTTTTATTTGTATTTTTTTAATTTAGAATTTAATACTTGTCTCCTATATAAGTGCATTGTTTTTATGATGGTAAAACGGTATTGAATCTGATATTATTTTTACATCCCGCGGTATAACATATTACCGTATTACCGCCCAAGCCTACTAGGAACACATTAAATAATGTTTGTTGTATTGTCTGCAATGAAATACAAGTCAAAGTAAATGTAGAAATGACTACTTTTTTATTTTTGTTTTCCATACTATCCCGACTTGTTTTGTTTTGTAGTGTTGTGGAAAAAAGATTCTGGTCTGCAAAATAATCTAAGTCTCTAAGTGAAACTTTTCAAAAAATGACAAAGTCTGAGATCTGCAAAGTCTTTAGGCAAAGCAGTTTATTGTTACAGCATCAGTAACAACAGAGACAGGTCATTCGAGTGTCTGCCGAACATAGGCATAGACTGTTTAAATACATTTCTGTGTCTTAATACTCCACCCAAATTTAAACATTATACACCTCCATCAACTTCTCCGCTAATAGGATCTCTCAGGTGCCCGCCGGGGTCTTACCCATGTCCAGTTAAGGCCTTTCCTTCCTGTTTCAAAAGCGATGCCAAAAAACAATGCTCAACAATATATCTTGTTCACTGTCCACTGAGCTGTCAACTGTAAGTTCAGCTGAAGTTCACGGGTACTCATATTTTTTAGATGTCATCACAAATGAGTGTGGGCCCATGTGCAGGTGCCTTATCATGAGTTACAGAACCGAACGCAGGTGTCCTTATGGCCTTGCATCCATAAATCTACCTTCATTGTGACATTAATGCTGCTGTTCTAATTTATCTTCTCATCTCTGACTGCATTTACACGGAATTACTTTTTCATTTACCAAAGCACTCATACGTGATGATAATGCTGCAGGTATGTGTAATAATACAATAGATAATAATAATAATAATACTGAAATCACTCAAATAAGCATAAAAATGAGAGTAATGCATTCATCAGAAATTCATCAAGACACAAAGAATTCCGCAACAGTGGCTGTATGTAAAATCTATTAAAACTTTTTTTGAACTTGTTTCTCTCAACATGGCAACAGAAGAGCTGTCAATCAGTAATTGGGAAATCAGAGTAGAGCTGTGAACCTACACTAGTCTCACGGTTCGGTTCGGTTATGATTATCATGCCATCGATTCGGTTCAATTCGATATTTCGGTGCATTACGGTGCATTGACGATGCTTTTATATTTTCTTCACAGCAGCAGCTCTTGTATTAAAATGTATGGATATATTTATATTTATATAGGCTATTATTTGTAATACAATTGTGTCATTTAATACAAACAGTCAGATATATAAACTGTAACTTTTTAAAAAAACGAGCATTTAGCAAATAATATAAACAAATATAAATATCCAGCTCAATATCTGATCCTTGTCTAGTTCTATTACACCCCTTTGTTTGGTTACACCCTCAACAAAAACGGTTGCGATTGGCTCTTGCGTGCTGCGCTTTTCAGATGAATGATAAGCGGCAGGCGGCAGCGGCGATCTCACAGCTGATCTATGATAGACACGGTGGAGAAAACTCTGCAGACATGCGCTCGTTTCTGTATCCAAAAGTAACGCTGTAAAACAGTCGAGAGAAAAAGAAAAGTCACGCCAGCAGGTCAAATGGGCCACTGTGTGTGTGTGTGTGTGTGTGTGTGTGTGTGAGAAAGAGAGAGAGACAGAGACAAAGCGAGAGCGAGAGAGAGAGAGAAAGAGAGAGATGGGGTAGGCTACTTTCATTCTCAAACACACACAGTGAAATTGTGCACAGTTCATGAGTATTAAGTAGTTAGAGCGTTGTAAATACTCGTGATCGTCTCTCTCGCGACAGAGCGCATATGAGGTAAATGACGTCAGTATTAACCGGTTATGATTATTACTGAACCGATACCTAATTGTCCGCGTCTGCATCGCGGTGCATTGAAAAAACTATTAATTTTGACACCCCTAAATCAGAGTAACTGTTTTTTTGTTTTATTTTATTTATTTATTCCTTTTTAATTTTGGAAGTCTTTTTTTTTTCTTTGGAAATTAAAAAGTTATGAATTACTTTACTAGTTACTTGAAAAAAGTATTCTGATTACATACTTGTAATGCATTACCCAACACACTGTTGATGACCAAACATTCTGTGCTTAATGTTAATGTTTTTGTGTTTTCTCTCCGTGGTCTCTTTAGGCTGATGATGCCTCTGATCTGCAGAGGGATGGTGGAAGTTTTGGACAATACAAACAGAAGTACGCTGAACCACACCAGTCTGTCAAACTACGCCTTTCTGTACGGAGTCTTTCCCACCGCACCCAGTGTGGCCATTTATGCAGCTCATTACAACATGGAGCTGGAGGTGGTATGTATCTTGTTTAGATGTGTTTTTGCACAGTAACACTTGTATTAAAGGGGTGGTCCACCACGATTTTATATTTTAAACTTTAGTTGATGTGTATTGTTGCTGTGTGAACATAAACAGCATCTCTGAATGTAAAATGCTCAATGCAAAGGGAGACTTGGCTTTTACAGAGTTAGCTTAGCAAAGCCTAGAATGAACAAATTTTGGGGACTACAAAAAATACTTCAGGACCAGTGAGATCACAAAGATACTTTTACCGCGCTCACACACACTGCACAGCAGGGCCATCATCATCAGGGCTGGATTCGGTTAAAATCTCCTCAGAGAAGGAGCAGAAGCTATGTACTCTGAGCCACGACCTGTAAGTGTTTTTATTTGTTAAAATTGATCATGACATGTACAGTGTCTAGCGTTAAAGGTATGCTGTAGCAAAGATGTAAACGACGGGAAATGCTGTTTGGCACTGCTAACAAATTAGCTACAAATTCATATTTGTTAGGGCTGTCAAAATTAGCGTGTTAACGCATTTGGTTAATTTAAAATATTCAACGTGTTAAAAAAATGACGCAATTGCAGGTGTTTTTTTATTTCCTGTTGTGGCCGACATGTGTTCAGAGATGGTGTGTGCATAGAGGCGACCTAGGCGGCTGCCTTGGGCAGCAGAATAGTGAGCGAACCCCCAGGTCTTCACTTTCATCAGCTACACCCACCCTCTCCCTCATGGCCCTCGCTTTCATGAGCAAACCGGTCACTTTCTTTTTCACTTTCAGGTTGAGGGCAGCGTGATTGCCGTTTGCCTAGAGCGCCAGTTTAGTTTGCCCCGGCCCTGCGTGTGTTTAACACGCAAAGAAATTTGGATAAGACCAAGGCCTCGCTTTTAGAAGGAAAGTTTCAGTATAAAACAATTAACGTGGCATCACCAGGCGTTTCCTCCAGAGTTACATGCAGGTGTTTCATTTTGAATCTTTAGACTTTAACTGTAGTTCAGCAGTTCACTCTCATTCAGCAGATTTTCATTCAGGATGTTTTAATGGAATTTGATACCGCATGGCATATGGAAAGAAACCTCAGCATTTCGTGACTCGGCTGGTCCTTTAAGGTAATCAAAAATTGCTGTTTACGTGGTCGACTCTTAATCAGTATTATCTTAATGATAGAAGCAGAGTATTGGTGTCCATATAAATGTACTCAGTGAAAATGGCAGATGAAGTCGCAAGCTGTCAAATACAGCCCTATTCTCTGCCTTTAAAGGGTCACAAAACACCAAAACACATTTTTTGAGCTGTTGACAGTCGTATATGTGTCCCACACTGCTAAAAAGACTATTAGGACACCTATATTTCACTAAAAAGTGTAAATTGGTTGTTTTTGCGTTATTTCAAGCAAATTCGTACTTCCTGTTTGAAACGAATTTTTGAAGCTGCGTCACGGTCATGACATAATAGCGTGTATTCCAGCGTGCAGACTGGACGTCTGTGCCAGAGTGTGTCTTATTACGTCTTACAGTGTGATGCATTAATGCATGAGTAAGGCTTGGTACAAACCAATCAGCGCGCTCTATTGTGCAACTTCATTAATATTCATTACTGTCACAGTGTTTAGACGACAGAGACGCCACGTTGTGTTGGCAAAACAAGCGTGAAGTGTTGCTTTTATAGTTTGCTGCAGTTAAGTTTCGTTTTTATTTTCTCTCTGTGAGAGCGCAGACTCGCGCGTGGATTACAGTGTACACGACGCTCGACAACAATAACTTACGTGTCTAAGGAGGATTATTGTTTACCTGAGAGCTGTTCTCATCTGCAAACGCTGAGATCCGGATTCGCTTGTAGTCTCCTCTTAATAAAGACGCGGCTCTAGTTGCTGGTGATTGTCCTGTCTCTACAGATTTGGTAAGTGAGCGACCAGTGCTCTTTGTTTATTCAGTTCGTATTTTATTCGTATCAAGCAAACTATTGCACCGAGTGCAATAGTTAGCACTAACAGTTACAACCAAACTATAACCTCGTGTTGGATTTTGTGACCGGAATAACACACGCGGCTTTCTGACGCTACCTGCCGTGTGCATCTAAGTTTCCGGGAAATGCTGAGTTTTTTTTCTCTCATTCGCCGTGCGGTATCAAACATTGCATGAAAAATACACGCTTAGAGCTGTTCCTCGAATCAAATATCTCGTTTGTCGCGAGGGACATTAATGAATTCCCTGAATGAAAAAGCCAAACTGCAGTTAAAGTCCACCATTTAATAATTTGGCAAATAATTTGACTACAGATGTCCATGTAAACACAGTCACATTGTCCGCTGTGGTTGTGTGTTTTGACTCTGAAATTCAGTGCGCCCAAATAGACACTCCCATACCTTGCCGCTTTTCTTCCTCCGACACTCCCCCCTAAACAGAGCTGGACACGCCCACTTTTCTGACTTTTTACAAAGTAGAGGTGTGAAAACACACTGCTGAAACGAGGGGGTTTCATGGCCCTTTAAGCTGCGTCCATGAGCCCTCACATTTCATAAGTTTCACGTTGCTGTGTCAGAATCCTTGCTTGTAAAATACAACCAGACTTTAGAGCACGTAGTTTAAGCAAATTTAATGATCGCGATCGTGTATGTTGATGAATCTGAAGGGATCCCTCACTCACCGGGTCCGCTGTACTGCACGTGTTGTGTGCGTGTGTGTGTGTGTGTGTGTAGTCCACTTAGAATCCAACATTTAAAAATCATTTTTGTTTGTTATTGGCATTGATTGTTTTGAAATTTAAACGCCATTTAATGCCTGTGTTTTATTTCTGTAATAAATACGGTGTTTCATGATTAATCATGATTAATTACAAAAAAAGTGTGATTCAATTACGTTAATTTTTTATTTATCTATTTATCAGTCAAACCGCTGTAAACACCCACACTCTTCACCAGCACGTGTATCTCTTTCTATAGGCAGCTTTTCCTGCGTTCTACATCTCGGATAATGAACTTGCAAAAGATATGTGAATGATTCATATTACCTACACATGCATATTCTGAATATATGTGAAAGACGTCATGTAATGCGTTGAGTAAAAAAAAAATAAAGGAGAGCTTGCCTAACTCACCTCTCTTAAATCGCTTAACTTATCTCTCTGCGATCTCTCTTAAAGGAGCCGCAGCTCATTTTCACTTGTTACAGACTCTTGTCAGATTTTATTGTAGAGAGCAGGCATGAGGTTGACTGGCTGTTTACCCAGCACAAAAGCGCGTGCTTGTACAGGCATGACGTGGAGCCGATCCGGGAATCACAGCACATTATGATAGATGACCAATCAGAGTCACTTGAGGCCGGGCCTTTCAGAGGAACTAGGAAATATGACAGTGGTTTTCATGTTAGCTGAGTAGCTGTATATAATCAAAGTGAGATTCATGAAAAAAGAACCTTATTTTCTTCATGTGAAATATGAGCACACATTGCTTTGCATCTTATAAACACAACCAAGCCTTAAAATTACATTCTGGACCACGCCTTTAATGACACACACAGATTAATTATTCGCCACAAAACTAGCAATGTGCTCTAACATAATCATATGATTAGTTTTAATTTCCTGTGCACTTTAAGAGTTTTTAGATAGATGGACTAGAAAAGAGACCAAAACTCCAAGTAAGTAAAGCCTCTCCATCATCTTCATCTCATCTGTGCTGTTTTTCTGTGTCAGGTGACCTCAGGTATGGTGGTCAGCACGTTTCTGTCCGCCCCCATCATGTACGTGTCTGCGTGGTTGTTGACCATCCCGTGGATGGATTCAGCTCCGCTGGCCTCTGCTCTGCAGAACGTCAGCTTCGACATCAGCATTATCAGCCTCTTCGCACTGGTCAGTGTGTTCCTTCACTCACACATACAAAGATCTTTTAGATATTATTTTTAATTTTAAATTCATATTTTTTGTGGGATGCTTTACAATAATATATTTAACTATATTTTCCCCAATTTCTGTTTAACAGAGAGAACACATTTCTAAACATAATAGTTTACAAAAAGATGTTTGAGACTCTCCGTGTTTGATTTTCATATATACACATTTATGCCGTCAAACTGTTGTATAAACACAATATCGCACTCGTAGCAGTGTGATGTGGCTGTATATCATCACTGATGGCATACTAAGACACTCAGCCTGCAGCCTCAAGCCAACGCACGCCTCCCACCAGTGCCAATACACAGCCATATCACACTGCTACTCATGTGATATTGCTCATATAATATTTTTTCTCAAATATATGCACGCCTAAGATGCTTTAAAAGTCTTTTGATTTAAACGTTATTTTGTTCTTCCACTTTTTTTGTTTACATCTATTATTTATAATTATTTATTTGTTTTAAGATATTTTTTTCATGTTCCAATTTCAAATGTCTTAATATTTCTAAAAATAAAATGTTTGAAACTGTGTACCTTCATTATTACACCATTATGTTGTAAAACTTTTTCATTTTTTATTAGGGTGCTTTCACACCTACACTTTTGTTTCGGAACCTGTCTCGTTTGTCCAGTTAGCGCGGTTCGTTTGGCATATGTGAAACCGCCAATCGCTGTCGGATCAAATCAATCGCTCCGAGATCGCTTGAGTGAGGTGGTCTCGGCTCGATTGAAACGAACTCTGGAGTGGTTCGATTGCAGTGAAAAAGCGATCCGATCCGAGCGCGGTTATATCACACTGTTTTATGGATATGTAATAGGCATACGGCTATATGAAGAGAGAATTATGAGTGTGGCGGGAAGTTTCGCGAGTCTCCGGATGCCCACAAACGAGTGATGATCTCCGGGTAATCTCGCGTCTCCCTCCCGGTCCTCAAATAGGCATCGTCGCGCACCCTTCTTACCCCTCCCCACCGCATCTCTCCTCACTCTTCAGACACGCTGCGCGCACCTTGTCAAACACCACCAAACCACCACCTCTCCTGAAAGCTGACCGGGACTCTGCAAAATAAACCCTGACACCCTGACCAATGTGTGGAGAGTTTACTCACACGTGACTTGTTTTAGCTCTTTTGGTTCGATTAGAAACTTTGCAGTGTGAAAGCGAACCGCTCCAAGAGCAAAGAGCAACAATGTAGCATTGGTAATCTCTGTTTCGGAACAACTGAATCAATTCACAGGTGTGAAAGCACCCTTAGTGAGTTATAAAGTGGAAATAATATCATTTATCACAATTAATTTGGGTGCAATGAATAACGCCCAGCAAAAAAATAGATTTCGTGACAGCCCTAGGTGTAGTCATTTATGCAGATCGCTGTACGTCTGATTTCAGTTCTCCTTCCTTCACTGTTTTTGTCTCCTTCTTCCTCTTAGAAACACAAATGCTACAGTGTGTGTTGATGTTCGTCTAATCTGTTAATAGTTGTTTGTGTTGCCTCTTACTGTAATGCAGGTGATTATTAAAGGATGAAGGTAAATCTGGGTTATTACCAGTTTTGTTGGACATGCTGTGGAAATCCAGCGTAGACGTGGGAATTCTGAAATGATGAATGGTTCAGTACTTTTTGCAGTTTATATGGATGGAATTTAACTATACAGTTGAACTCAAAAGTATTCAGATGGGTCAGTTGGCATTTCTGTGTGGAGTTTGCATGTTCTCCCCGTGTTGGCGTGGGTTTCCTCTGGGTGCTACGGTTTCCCCCACAGTCCAAACACATGCACTATTGTGGAACTGGATAAAGTAAATCAAAGCCTAAAAGGGTCAGTTTCAGAGAGATATAAAACATTATTAGTGTGGTATTTTGAGCTGAAACTTCACATATATCACATTGGAAACATGCTTTGCTAAAATGATTTAAATCTCAGGCCGCAACATGAAGAATTTCTGGCATCGCCTGTTATTCTCTATTGATTTTGTTTCTGTGTCTGCAGGTGTGGAGTCTCACAGTCATGATACTGAGCCGAAAATACCACAGGATTCCTCATATTTTCACCATAAACCTCTTTGTGGCGCAGGTGAGCTCACCGGGGATTTGAAGAAGCTGTCATTTTTCCACTTAATACCATAATTATGCGTTTAGTGAGTAACACAACTAAACTGTTCGTTATAAATGCAGTCAACTACACTTTCCCTTTAATATACAGTTGAAGACTACATTAATGTAATTCTTAAATTATTTTTCATAAATGTTTTAAACACATTTTTAAACTTAATAGTTTTAATAACTCTTTTCTTTCTTTTTTTCTTTTTTTTATTAGAATATACAAAAGGCACACAAATTGAGATCATACAAATACAAAGAAAATGAAACGACAAGGAAAATAACAAAAACAACAACAATACAGTCAGATACTGGCAGCTGCGTGTGTTTTTGTATGTGTGTGTCTGTGTGTATGTGTGTGTGCATGTAAAGGTAACTTGGTAAACAGGTCAGAGTACATACAAAAGGAACAATAACAGTCAATAAACAAAGCAAGTAACATATATATATTTATACAACAGTTCTGTCTGGTTCTCGAATCTGATTGGCTGATAGCCGTGATATATTTAAGTTATATCAGCACCCGTACAGCCTCTTTATCCTTTACTCCGCCCACATACAGCCAGCAACAAGCAGACACTACAGATCTAAAGTTTAAAAGATGCTTGCTCAGCTGTTTAACTGTCAGCTTATGATTTGAATCCAGGCAGGAGAAAGTAGTTCCTCATACAAAAGGGTTTTTGAGACTCTCCATGTTTGATTTTGTTTTATAAATATACAATTATGCCCTCAAACTGTTGTATAAACGCAATATCACACTTGTAGCAGTGTGATATGGCTGTATATCAGGGCCTGCGGCCTCGTGCCAACACACGCCTCCCACAGCCATATCGCACTGCTACTTATGTGATATTGCTCATTTATATATATATATATATATATATATATATATATATATATATATATATATATATATAAAATAACTAATAAACTAATTTTACTAGATAATTTGCCGGATACTAGTATTCAGCCTAAAGTGACATTGAAAGGCTTAATTAGGTTAATTATACTTTATTAATTATGAAAGTCATGGAACAACACTGGTCTCTGTAGCAAATTGAATAATAAGGGAGCTGATAATATTGACATTAGCAGCAAAAGTAAATTAATATATATTTTATAAAAAAATATAATTTATAGGTTCATTTTATATTTATAAAATTAATAATTTTATACATGAAAAACAATATTTATTTAATTTATTATTATTATTGTTATTATTCCAGCCAAACTAAAATAAATAATCCTTTCTCCAAAAGAAAAAAATATGATGTGAAATACTGTTAAAAATGTTATATTTGAAAAAATAATTAACGTTTAAATTTTGTTTTTGACAGTAGTTTATTTAAAGATAAATAGAACAATCAGTAACATATACAAATTATACATAATTAGGCCATCAGCCTGTCTGAGACCGCATAATAAGTTCTTAGGGCAGAAAAAACAGTATTTGTAAGATTCAAACTACAGCCGAACAAATCATTACGGAACCGGTGAGTGACATTCTTAAGTCGATCTCTCTCTCTTTTGTCAGTTGTAGTGCTGTATTTATACCATAGAAATCTGTTAGTGTTTGCTTTGGTTTTTTAGGGGTTAATTATTGTGATATCCCGATTGCAACTGAGAAATACTGGAAAATCTCTGTAGACGGATGGCATTTCATGTCGTTCAGCCTTATAATCTTAAAATGTCAGCAAAATCACTTGTTTTGTGATCACTTTAGACATTACGCTAGAGAATCATTCAAACACTAGCTCTAAAGTGACATTGGTGAAGCAGCAACGGTTTCTACTGTAATGATTATGCCGCCAAACTGTTGTATAAACGCAATATCACACTCATAGAAGTGCATGATGGCTGTATATCGTCACTGGTGGGACACTAAGGCACTCGGCCTGTGACCTTGAGCCAGTGCACCATTGCCTCCCACCAGTGTCGATATACTGCAGCTCATGTGATAATGCTCATATATATTTTTGGCATAAATTAAAATAAAACTTTCAAAACTTATAAGAGAGACCAATACAGGAAGGAAAAACCAAGGTTATATGCATTTATATCTGTACTCCACTACACCTTCCGCATAAAGTCGTATTTGTGTGTGTGTTTGCAGCTATTAGTGTGTGTTGGGATGATCGTGTGGAACTTCGTGGTGAAGCAGGACAGTTTTGTGGCGCAAGTCTTGAGCTTTACTCTGCTGTACGGCTCTCTCTACAGCACCTACATCTGGCCTGGTGAGTCTACAGTAAACATTACAGCATCTTCACACTGCAGCATTAAAACAACTTAACATGCATTTACATCTTGTTTGTCTGTTTGAATGTTTTTATTTTTATTGTACAACCCTAAATCATCTTTATTTGTATAGCGCATGTACAATGTGGATTGTGGCAAAGCAGCTTCACATAGAAGATCAAAGTAAATTGAAACGGTGTATTTCAGTTTTCAGTGTTGAAGTTCAGTTTAGTTCAGTTCAGTGTGGTTTATTTTCACTGCTGAGAGTTCAAACACTGAAGAGCAAATCAATCGATGCGCAGCTCTGCAGGTACAATTGGCGAAAGTGAAGAATTAAAAAACCTTGTGAGAAACCAGGCTCAGTTGGGCATGACCATTTCTCCTCTGGCCAAACGTCTTGTGCAGAGCTGCAGTCTAGGCGCCGGAACTGGAGAGCGCTGGACGTCCATCATGAAAGAGATGGGAGAGGTCACCGACTGGTGTACAGGCTGTCCTTTCAGGATCAATGCGAGGACTCGTCTGTCACTGGGGTCTTACAAGGATCAGCCTCATGCTCTTCACTCCTCCATGACCACCACAGCAGCTGCTCAGGATGTGATCTGGTCCAGTAAAAGTATTGCCTTTAGAATGCAATTTTTTGTTTATATTCAAGAAAGAAACTTGAATATGGGTTTTCAGCCATACTGACAACCCTAGCCAACTCACCCAGCCAGCGACCTTCTTGCTGTGAGGCAACAAGCGACAGCCACCGTGTCACCCCTAAATTAATGAGACCTAGAACATTTTTTTTGTCCTCGTATAGAAGGATTTCACATCCTGTCCTAACTTTTTTTCACATGACTGTAAATATTTTGTGTTTAAAGTGTTTGAATGCTCTGTGGATTGTTTTGCAGGTCTCATCGTCCTCTCTCTGCTCCTCATGAGAAGTGAAGAGGTGAACTTTAGGCCGGGACTCACTGTGATCACCGGCTGGGGGTTAGTAAATTAATTTAATACTAAACAAATTAATAAATTAATACGACTTCTATACCTATCGTTCCTCATTCCCATTTCCCATTCCCTTATATATATAGACACACACACACACACACACACACACACACACACACACACACACATATATACACACACACACACACACACACACACACACACACACATATATATACACACACATATACACACACATATATATATATATATATATATATATATATATATATATATATATAAATATATATATATATATATATACATATATACACATATATACAAATATACACACACACACACACACATATATACACACACACACACACATATATATATATATATACACACACACACATACACACATATATACACACACACACATATATATATACACACACACACACACACACACACACACATATATATATATATATATATATATATATATATATATATATATATATATATACATACACACACATATGTGTGTGTGTGTGTGTATGTATATATAGGAACAATGGGAATGAAGAACAATGGAAATATAAGTCCTAATAATTTATATATAAATGTGTTATATATTACTGTATATTTATATAGTGCATTTCATACACAATGGTAATTTTAAGTGCTTTACATAAACAAAAATATATAAAGATAAGTATAAGTACAAAAAATAAGTAAATGAATGGAACCAGCAAAATATGTTAATTCAAGTCTTTATTGTACCGTAGAGTAGTTTTAAATCCAAAATGTTAAAAAAAATAGTAGCTTGAACTAATGTTTGTGTTTTGTTTCCTTCTGTCTTATGCAGTTTGCCTTTTTTGGCTGTGAGCGTCCTTCTCCTGTCAGGACACAGAATGCCAGACACCATCGACTCTGCCTTCTTTTATGGAACCACACAGGTGCAAAACTGATACAATTAAATGTTTGTCCACTCTGTTTGTGTAGTCTGCATGGTTAATAAATAATAAAGTCGTCAGAATGATAGCAGCTGGAAGGATGGAAAAAGCATCATAAAAATAGCAATAAGCCTCTGATAATGTCCATTATCAACTCGCATAAGATGGCACTGTGCATGACATCATATCGTATAGTAATTGAATAACAGAGTTAAGGCCTGTTCTCTTAGCGCTAACAGAGTTGACTGTAAAAGGGCTGTCAGTAACAGAGCTGATAGTAATAGAGCTGACAGTAAAGAGGTTGGCAGTAACAGAGTTGATGATAACGGAGTTGACTGTCACAGTTGACGGTAACATCTGACAGTAACAGTTGACAACAACGAAGTTGACAGTAACAGAGTTGACAGTAGCAGAGTTGACAATAGCAGAGTTGACGATAGCAAAGTTGACGGTAACAGGAGTTGATGATAACCGGGCTGACAGTAACAGAGTTGACAAAACCATAGTTGACTGTAACAGAGCTGAGAGTAACAGTTGACAGGAACAAACGGTAACAAAGTTGACCTAACAGAGTTAGCTGTAACAGAGTTGACAATAGCACAGTTGACAGTAACAGCATTGACGGTAACAGAGTTGATGGGTAACAGAGTTGACCAGCTAACGGAGTTGACAGTAACCAAACTGACAATAGCAGAGTTGACGATAGCAAAGTTGACGGTAACAGAGTTGATGGTAACAGTGCTGACAGTAACAGTTGACAGTAACAAACAGTAACAGAGCTAACGGTAACATAGTTGATGTAACAGAGATAACTGTAATGAGTTGATGGTAGCACAGTTGAGAGTAACAGAGTTGACGGTAACAGTTAACGGGGTAACAGAGTTGACTGTAACAGCTGACAGTAACCAAGTTGACGGTAACCAAGTTGACAATAGTAGCGTTGATGATAGTAAAGTTAACGTTAACAGAGCTGACAGTAACAAACAGTAACAGAGCTGACGGTAACAGCTGACAGTAGCCAAGTTGGCAGTTACAGAGTTGACGATAGCAAAGTCGGCGGTAACAGAGTTAATGGTAACAGGGTTGACTGTAATTGAGTTGACGGTAACCAAGTTGACGGTAACAGGGTTGACAGTAACAGATCTGACAGTAACCGAGTTGATGGAAACAAACAGTAACAGAGTTGACGGTAACATCTGACAATAACAGAGTTGACAATAGCAAAGTTGGCGGTAACGGAGTTGACTGTAACAAAGCTGACAGTAACAGTTGACAGTAACAAACAGTAACATCTGAAGGGAACAGATTTGGTGTAACAGAGTTGACGATAGCACAGTTGATGGTAACAGGGTTGACATTAACAGAGCTGACAGTAACTAAGTTGACCGTAGCAGAGTTGAGAGTAACATGTGACAGTAACAGAGTTGACGATAGTAAAGTTGACGGTAACAGAGTTGACTTCAACAGAGCTGACAGTTGACAGTAACAAACAGTAACAGGGCTGAAGGTAACTGAGTTGACATAACCGAGTTGATGGTAACAGGGTTGAAAGTAACAGAGCTGACAGTAACCAAGTTGATTACTTTTTTTAATGAATGCATAGAGTCAACCAAAATGTAGAGACAGACAAAAAAATGTATTTGTTATAACTAAAATTACAACTAATACAGAAAAAAAGATGTTTCATGCAAGTGTTCATTAAACTTAGTTGAGTAAAAAAATAAATAAATAATTAAAATCATGCCTAAATATTGAATTCTAGTTGAAGCTGAATGATTCAGGTATCGCGTTAGTCTTTAAGTTAATATTGTCAAAGCAAAATCTCTTTAAAACACCTTTCTAAAACCTCATTTTTAGAAAGAGCCTGATATAATTTGTGTAATTATTCAAAACCCTTACATTTGATCATCTTTGTTTGTGAACAATAATAGCTTTCTTGTTGGAGATGCCAAACTTAACCGCAATCTAGAATCAACCAATAAGCAAAAGCGGATTTCTCAATTCATGGTCCCTTTAAAGCTGACAAAACCCTGGTCAAAAAGACTTCTATAAACGAATAAACCACATTGTGTTTACTGCTGGTTTTATAGGTGATGTGCACATCGGTGGTGTTGTGTGTGAGTATCGCGGTGTGTGGCGTCTCTCTCGCGCTGCTCAGCAGACGAACACAAGACTATCAAAACCTTGTATCTGGATCATTGTCCGGCAGTGAAGAAGATTTGAGGATTCCCTACAACGCACCAGTTCAGGGCTCCATTGAGGATACCTGCACTTTAGGCAGCACCAACACGGGTATGACACTCACAGCATGTGTCAAAAACAAAATTCACATTACACAGTGTATGTGCAGTATTTTGTACAGTATGAAGGATGTGTTGTAAGCAGTCAGCCAATCACAACAGACCAATCAGAGCAGAGGCTACAGGAAAGGAGGAGTTTAGAAAGAACAAATCTTCAAATGAATCAAACAAATAGTTTAAGGCTGATCAAGAAAAGATTATGATTCATTATGAAATGTATTTTTTGACATTGGATGCATGTAAAGCTGTCAATTTTATTTGATTTTGTATGCGTTTTTTGTTTAAGAAGGCTGAAGTCATGATTGTGTTGCTGGAAATGTAAGTTGTGTGTTGAAAGAACACTAAGGTCTGGTTGTAAAATGTGCATTTTAGAAATGTTGATCATCTGGTTATCCATAAATGCAGAAAAATGCTAGCAGTGAACATCAAGAGATCATTCTACTATTGTACAAGAGCAGTGTTTCCCAACCATGTACCTGAAGGCACACAAACAATACACACTTTACAACCTCTCCCTATTCAAACACACCTGAATCAACTCATCAGAACAGAAGAAGAGACTCCAAACCCTGAAGTTAATGGATCAGATAAGGGACACATTCAACATAAGGGCTGTTGGTGTGCCTCCGGGAACAGGGTTGGGAAACACTGCACTTGAGAATGAAAATAGTAGTTATAGCACTAGATATCATGCTGGTTTGAGTCCTTAAAATGACTTAATGTCAATCTAATCTTTGTGTGTTTGTCAGCATGCCAGATGTGCGAGTGTGCGTGCGCTCTTCCTCAGACCAGACCTGATGTTACAAACACCAAAGAGGAAGTGTCCATACAAACAGGTTTTCCTCTTTCTTTCATTTCCTCTTCCCTCAAACACACTCTTCATAGATAAAAAGTGCTTTATTGGTGAAAGGTCATCTTTTTTGAACGTTGGCTCATTTTACATCTCCAAAAGAGTTAAAGAGTACAGTTTTACCGTATTTTAATTCATTAAGCTGTTCTCGGGGTCTGGCGGGCGCGTTTTTAGCTTAGCTTAGCTTAAGTAATTGAAACAGATTAGACCGTTAGCCTCTCACTTAGAAAAAAACGTTTTATTAGTGAAAGGTCGTTTTTGAAGGCATTACTGACACCACATCTCAACAGAATCAAACCTATGAATTGTGATGTTTTTGTTTTTGTTATTACTGACATAAAGTTTGGTTATTAATGCACATTTTAAAATACCGCATTATAAACAAGTGATGGAAACACCCTCAAGTGATAGAAACACCCCACTTTTTTTGAAAATAGGCTCATTTTACAACTCAATGAGAGTTAAAGAGTTAAGTTTTACAGTTTTTGAATCCATTCAGCCGATTTCAGGGTCTGGCGGTAGCACTTTTAGCTTAGCTTAGCATAGATCATTGAATCAGATTAGACCGTTAGCCTGTTTCTCAAAAAAAATGTTTTATTGGTGAAAGGGTATCTTTGGAGGCATTACTGACACCACAGCTCAACAAGATCAAACCCTATGAATTATGATGTTTGTGTTTTTAATACCTTTATGAATCGCTGAAGTCAGTGGCTGGGTTTCTATCATCCTGTGTTATTGTGCATTTTAAAGTACCACATGAGACACAAGTGATGGAAACACCCTTAAGTGATGGAAACACCCCACTTTCTTGAAAATAGGCTCATTTTAGAACTCCGCAAGAACTAAAGAGTTGACATTTACCATCTTTTAATCCATTCAGCCAATCTCGGGGTCTGGAGGGAGCACTTTTAGCTTAGCTTAGATCATTGAATCAGATTAGACCGTTAGCCTATTGCTCGAAAAAATTTGTTTTATTGGTGAAGGGTCATCTTTGGAAGCATTACTGGCACCACAGCTCAACAGGATCAAACCTATGAATTATGATGTTTGTTTTAATTACCTTACAAATAGCGGAAGTCAGTAGCTGGGTTTCCATCACTCTGTATTATTGTGTATTTTGAAGTACCACTAGTGAAAGACGTAATGGAAACACCCTTAAACACCCCACTTTTTTTGAAAATAGGCTCTTTTTACAACTCGACAAGAGTTGCAAAGTTGAGTTTTACCATTTTTAAATCCATTCAGCTGACCTCGCGTTAGCTTTTAGCTTAGCTTAGCATAGATCATTAAATCAGATTAGACCGTTAGCCTCTTTCTCAATTATTTTTATTGCTTAAAGGTCATCGTTGGAGGCATTACATGACGCCACTGCTCAGCAGAATCATGCTGTTTTTTTAAGTACCTTATAAATAGCTGAAGCCAGTAGTTGGGTTTCCATCTTCCTGTGTTAATGGCCATTTTGAAGTACAGCATAAGACACAAATGATGGAAACCTCCCCATTTGTTTTAAATAGGCTCATTTTACAACTCAATGAGAGTTAAAGAGTTGAGTTTTATAGTTTTTGAATACATTCAGCCAATCTCAGGGTCTGGCGGTAGCACTTTTAGCTTAGCTTAGCATAGATCATTGAATCAGATTAGACCGTTAGCCTGTTGTTCAGAAAAAATAGTTTTATTGGTGAAAGGGTATCTTAAGAAGCATTACTGACACCAGCGCTTAACAGGATCAAACCTATCAATTATGATGTTTATGTTTTTTAATAGCTTATAAATATCTGAAGTCAGTAGCTGGGTGTCCATCCTCATGAGTACCACATGAGACACAAGTGATGGAAACACTCTTAAGTAATGGAAGCACCCCACTTTCTTGAAAATAGCCTCATTTTACAACTCCACAAGAGTTAAAGAGTTGACATTTACCATTTTTAAATCCACTCAGCCAATCTCAGGATCTGGCCGGTGCACTTTTAGCTTAGCTTAGCATAGATCATTGAATCAGATTAGACCGTTAGCCTGTTGCTCAAAAAAATAAGGAAAGCGTTTGGATAATTTCCTAAATGAGCAAAGTGTTTGGACTATTTAAAGCTAGACTCTTCTGTAGTTATACTCAAGCGGCAACCTCCCGCTCTCTCTCAGGAAGCCAATACGGAAGTAACTAAAACTGCAATTCATCCGAAGTTCCGCTAGTCCTGGCCGCTCCTGGCTCCAAAACAGAGCAAATTTTAATTGAACCCACTGTTAGAATGGCCAACTTTACAGCAGAAAAAAAGGTGTTTACAGCCTGGTACAAAAAAGGATTTTGGTTAATACAGTTAATATTACCCTTCATGACAACTGTGAGGGGGGTGAATTTTTTTAGAACTCATCCGTTTCCTTTATATTAAGTTATATTAAGTTTGCATAATTAAGGGCGTGGCCCCTTGAGTGACAGCTAGGTCTCGTTGGTCGCCGTCACGTCACCTCAGCTGAATCCTGCAGATTAGCCACTGAACTCGGCATATTTATCGTATTTCTATGTTGTTTTATGTGGTTTTACACAGTCAACTGCCTTTTGGACTTGTTTCCTACAATTATTAGAGGGCATGGCATGCTGAGTGAACTTAATTGTGCTCACAAACCATTCACGTGGCCTCCGTTTCACATGTGAGTAAAGTTATATACTTATATACCATCTCTATACATGTATAGGTCTTATTTAAGATCATTTATGGTTTATATTTATATTTAGAGCTGTAATGCACTCCAGAATCTGGCAGATTGATTAGCTGTGGGCTCTAGATCACTCATCTGAAGCGTTGTCATACAGTGTTATGCTGGATTTCATCAATAGTCTTACATTAACTAACACAGACTATATCTGAAGTGTTTGGAAGTAATTCATGTTTTCCTCCTGTTGAAAAACGTCATAAGAACAATGTTTAGTGGCTCAATGTATTACAGCAGTGTTTTTAAAAGACTAAACACTATTGATATAGTATACAACCAAGCACAAGTGGTCAGAACACAAACGAGTCACAGGTGATAAAGTATTAAGCGTTCTCCCAAAGTAAAGTGTGTCTGAACCAGGTCCAAGCAAACTGTCAGCAGGTGTCTGTAGCTCCGCTCACTCTCCGCCTCTTTGCCCTTGTTTGGTATCCCGGCGTGGGTGTGATGCACGCGAACAAAATGGCGACGGTTGGCTGCGCCTACTTGTGGCTTCTTTTGCGCTCTTTAGAAACCTATGGGTGACGTCACGGATACTACGTCCATATATTTTACAGTCTATGGTTATACTGTGTAGCATGACCAACGGAAAGCAAAAAGTTGCTGTTTTCTGCATTAGGATGTCAAGGATGTAAAATGATCAGAACTCGAGCATTCTCAAATATCGATTACCCTATAAAAGAGCAAAAAAAGCTGAATGTGTTGAAACTTTTGTTGTTTTCAGGTCAGTGTGGTCAGGAATGTACATCCACGCACTGTTTGCTGGTTGAAGAGGAGGAGAAGGAGACGGAGAGACAGAACACAGACATTCAGTCAACAAGACATGTGCTCATGTGTCTGATACTGACCGTCACTTCACTCGCTGTGAGTACTCTATGGCCATGTTAACATCTACACTTATTTTGAATTCTGTTTAAAAGTATATAGTTTACAGTATACAGTTTTTTCCACTAGAGGGGGCATTTTCAAAACAAACAATGGCGTATTTTGATGACCTAGTGCTTGGAGGTTGTGTTGATCAACATCCTGTAGGATGTGTTAAAGTTTTCAATACGTTATTATTGTGGTAACATGACGGAAGTGGAAGCAAATGAAAGCACGATATTTTCATCCCTATGAGGAGAATGGCTCATATATCACAATAAATTATTTTGAATACTGTTATATATTGACAATAATTTCAGATTGTTTCGTGTCAGGGTTGGGTTTGGGGAAGAGGACACAATATAGGCATTTCTCCTGCAGCCTTGCTATCAGTGTGTGAAGAGTGGGTGAAGAGGGTTGCATTGGCAATCTAACACAATGGGCAGCACACTGAACACATTTTATAAGTGGTCAGAAACTTGTAAATAACTCAAGAAAGAATAAAGTTATGTTTAAACCAAGCACACCATTGTTTTTCGTGTGAAATTCCCAATAAGTTGGATGTGTCACATGACCCTCTTCCTCTTGAAAATACAAAAGTTGGATTCAAGATGGCCGACTTCAAAATGGCCACCATGGTTACCACCCATCTTGAAAAGTTTGCCCCCTCACATCTACTAATGTGCCATAAACAGGACTTTAATATCACCAATATCACTATTGTATTAAGGTGTTTTAATATAAATGGCCCACGCTGTAGTCTGTACAGTGAAGCCTGGTTTATACTTCTGCGTCAAGTGACCGGCGTGACCCACGGCACATGCAACGCGCGCAGCTGTGCATTTATACTTCAGCGCGCTGTCTCTGTTGGTCTGAATTAACACTTCCGAAACGCTAGTTGGCAGTGAGGTGTAAATGTTCCTCTGTGTTGAGTCTTTTCGCTGCTGTTTTGCTTTTCCTGAACACTTCCTGGATGTACAAGTGGCTTAAGCTCGCTCATTTTGAGGCAGGAACCGGCGGACGTGCAACAACTTTAACTATGAGGTAAACACAAAGCAAAACTTTCCATCAGGAGCTCCTTCACGGGACTCCACACTTGTAAACAATCGCTACATTGGGCTCGCGCCATTCGCTTGGCTCTCGGTCCCGCCCAGACTCGTCAGCGCAACCAAGCCGACCAATCACAGAGCTTGCGCTACGCGTCGTTGCGACGTGTAGTTACAATTTTTGAGAGGTGCACGTCAGTGACGCCGAAGGGCTATGCGTTAGCGCCGTAGCATACGCTGGCGTTTGACGCAGAAGGATAAATCAGCCTTTAGAAACATCATTATATCTGTGTGAAGACACTTTAAAACATGAAATCCCAACGTGTGTGTGTGTGTGTGTTTTTCAGAATCTGTGCAGTTGTCTATGGTGGCTCTTTAATAAAGATCCGGGTCGTCTGTATCTGGAGCTGCAGTTCTTCTGTGTTGTGGCCAATTACGGACAGGTGAGTGTGTGTGTGTCTGTGTCGTGCTCAACTGTGTCACAATTATTACTAAATTCTACATCTCTTTTCTACTCTAGGGTCTTATTTCATTTGCCTTTTTTGGCCTCGACAAGCATTTAATCATTTCTCCGTTCAAAAAGAGGTAACTACATTTCTGCAACACTGGTCACGTGGTGTTGGACTTATCTTTTGACATATTTTGAAAGCATGTTGTTATTTTCCAGGAACTAAAACCTCCTCCCTATTGTGAAAAGAGTATTTATTCAGACTAAGTGGAAAAAACAACAACTTTTTGTTGTTGTTGTTGTTGCGTCAGGTGTATGAATTTATTTAAAGTGGACCTGTTGTGCCCATTTTTAGATGTAAAATAAGTCTCTGATATTCCTAGAGTGTGTGCGTGCACTTGCGTGCGTGTGTTTGTGTGTGTGTGTGTGTGTGTGTGTGTGAGGTAGAGGTCTGCGCGGGACTAATTTTTAGTCCCATTCCTCCCGCTCCCGTGAGGTTTTATTCCGCACCTTACCGCTCCCGCTGTATATTCAGTCTTTGTTCACCTGCTGCCCGCTTGGAATAATTTTCTCCCCGACCGTTCCTTCTAAATATAGATTGAATTTGAAGTACAGCATGAGGCACAAGTGATGGAAACACTCTGCTTTTTTGAAAATGAGCTCATTTTACAACTCCACACGAGAGTCAAAGAGTTAAGTTTTAGCATTTTAGAACCCATTCAGCCAGGAGCATATTTAGCTTAGCTTAAGTCATTGAACCAGATTAGACCGTTAGCATCTCACTTAAAAATGATCAAAAGGTTTGGGTAAGTTCCCAAATGAGCAAAGTGTTTGGACGATTTAAAGCTTGACTCTTGAGGTCTGCGTGGGCCTAATGTTTTAGTCCCATTACCCCTGCTCCCGTAAGGTTTTATTCCGCACCCTACCGCTCCCGCTGTACAAAAGGGTCAGTTTCAGAGAGTTATAAAACATTATCTGCTGGAGCGCAACTACACATTTACTGAGTTCCAAAAATATCTGAATATTATGACTCATTATGAATCATTAAAATCAAGCATATAAAATTCATTTAGGGGAATTTTTAATCCAAATATTATTTTGTATTTCATCTGAAATACATTGAGGTCTGTACTTACATAAACATACATTTTGCGTGATCCCTCTTATTCTGGCAAAAAACTATTTTTAATTAATTAATGATAAATAATAATAAAGTTTTTTTTTTTAGATTAATCTTGTAACCTCAACTGTACTGTATGTATGAGTTGACAGTTTATTTAGATAAAAATGTAAAAAAAATAAAATGAAAAAAATAAGTTACATACATATGAACACTTTAGACTTGTCTGTGTGACTGCATGTTATTGTGTTAAATAATTTTGGATTAAAACGTGTGTGCCATTGTATGCAACTCATGGTATATATGTTTTATTTAATAAAATACAAAATTATACTTGTATAAAATGCAAAATAAACATTTTTGACAAAACATATTTATTTATTTGTAATATATGAACCTTTTAATAATGATAATTTCAAAAATCTTTTTGGCACAATGGCGCCCCCATGTGTGGCACCCCTATGCGACGCATATACTGCATACCCCCTTTTTGCGCCTTTGTGTGCTATTTTGAGCTCAAACTTCACACACACACACTCTAGTGACATCAGAGACTTGTTTTAAATCTTGTAAAAAGGGGCATAATAGGTATTATTTAAATACAGAAATGCATTGCTGTTTTGCATATTACATTTTAAAGTGAATTTTCTGCTCGTACGCTTCAGTATTCTTCAGTAAATGCTCAGAGTGGGGGAAGGAGCTTTCATGTACATGATGTAAATGCAGCAGTGTGGATGACTTGCTGTTGTTTCTGCTTGTGAAGGCTGGAGAGTGTGTGGCAGTGGTGGGCTCAGTTGGTCTCGGGTTCAGAGGTGTCTGAGGAGATCAGACTGACCTGCAATCAGTTCCTCAAATATCATAAGAAGCAGTGCATTAAAGACATCGTTCACAAGAAAAGGTGAGACGAGACACCCTCTAGCGATGGTTGTTTGTTGCACACTCAAACGTAATTTATTAGGTGTTCATTTGTTTTTGGTGTATAAAATAAAATTTGCTGCCATTTTTAAAACATGACTCTGAGATTCCCAATTACACTGTTATTTTATAAAGCAAAAGCCACTTATTTCTTGGTGTTATGGCCTAACACTAGCCCTAACCTCAACCCTCATAGGAAAACTGACAATTTTGAATGTCAAAAGACCATGTTGAGTGTGATTTTGAAGCGATTTGAAAAACTAAGACACAAGGCATGTCCTCATAAACCACCTTAATGGAGTATAACTAGATCATAACCATGTCATTATACAATAACTGTCCTTGTAAATCACCAAAACCAGCACACACACACACACAATTACAACATTCAGCCACTCACAAACACACTCACACTCAAACACATTGGTATTGGTGGTTTATGAGGCCTATCCATAGGCGTACTGTATTTTATACTGCAAAAAACACTTATTTTATGGTGTTATGGCCTAACCGTAGCCCTAACCTCAACCCTCATAGAAACACTGGCAAATTTGAATGTCAAAAGACCCCAAAAAGTATGATGTTTAAGCATTTTGAATTCCGAAGACACAAGGCATGTCCTTATAAACCACCATAATAGAGTACAACTAGGTAATTTCTATATGATTACACTAAAATCTGTCCTTGTAAACCACCAAAACAAGCACACACAACCACACAATTACAGCATTCAGCCACTCACAAATACACTCGCACTCAAACACGTTGGTATGAGTGGTTTACAAGGCCTATTCATAGGCGTACTGTATTTTATACTGCAAAAAACACTTATTTCATGGTGTTATGGCCTAACACTAGCCCTAACATTAACCCTTATAGGAAAAAGTGGCAAATTTGAATGTCAAAAGACCCTGTTAAGTATGATTTTGAAGCATTTTGAATTACGAAGACACAAGTTATGTCCTCATAAACCACCAAAATAGTACAACTAGGTCATTCCCATATGATAACACTAAAATATGTCCTTGCAAACCACCAAAACCAGTACACACACACACACACACACACACACACACACACAATTACAGCATTCAGCCACTCACAAATACACTCGCACTCAAACATGTTGGTATTGGTGGTTGGTGGCCTATCAATAGACATTTTATAATAGACATTGTATTTTATACTGCAGAAACCTCCTATTTTATGGTGTTATGGCCTAACACTAGCCCTAACCTTAACCCTCATAGGAAAGCTTTTAAAAGACCAATCATACAACAACAACAACCTTGCTTATAATAATATACATTGATTATATATATATATATATATATATATATATATATATATATATATTACTAATTTATGTGTGTGTGTGTGTGTGTGTGTGTGTGTGTGTGTGTGTGTGTGTGTGTGTATATATATATATATATATATATATATATATATATATATATATATAGGTTTTATTATATTTGGGTATATAAACCAAATGCTATTGGCATTTTTTAAAGAAGGGGTGGAGCTAATGTGTCCCGCCCTCTCTTCATGTTTTAGTTGAGATTACATCAAACATTGAATAAAAAAATGTTTGTTTGCTGTGTGTGTTGTTAGATGTTGAAGTGTGTTTCTGTGCTGCTGTCCGCAGGTGTGGAGAAAAGAGCAGCATCCAGGCATTTCTGGGCACTGATATGGTCGTGTGGCTGCAGAGTGTGGGATTGGCCAGTGATCAGGGGGAGGCGGTGCTGTACGGCTCACGGCTGCTGGATGGAGGAGTTATTCAGCACATCACACAGCAACACGCCTTCGAGGACCAGACCCTGCACTACCGCTTCACATAAACGCACACATTTACACTCACAAACACTCACACACTCTCAAAAACACACACTTCAGCACATTGGTATAGGTGTAATGTATATTATACTGCAAAAACCACTTACTTTATGGTGTTATGGCCTAACACTACTGCTAACCTCAACCCTTATAGGAAACCTGTGGCAAAAAGAGCCCAAGTATGAATTTTAAGCAATTTGAATTACGAAGACACAAGGCATGTCCTCTTAAACCACAATATTAGAGTAAAATTAGGTCATACCTAACACTAGCCCTAACTCTCATCGAAAAACAGACAATTTTGAATGTTAAAAAACCATGTTAAGTGTGATTTTGAAGAGTTTAGAATTACGAAAACACAAGGCATGTCCTCATAAACCACCGTAATAGTACAACTAAGTCATACCAAAGTCATTTATATAAAAACTGTCCTTGTAAACCACCAAAACCAGTACACACAACCACACAATTTTATATAAAAACTGTCCTTGTAAACCACCAAAACCAGTACACACAACCACACAATTATAGCATTCAGCCTCACAAACGCACACGCAAACACACTGGTATTAAAGGTTTATGAGGCCTATCCATAGACATGTTTTATACTGTAAAAATCACTGATTTCATGGTGTTATAGTCCAACACTAGCGCTAACCTCAACCCTCATAAGAAACTGCCAAATTTGAATGTCAAAAGACCATGTTTAGTGTGATTTTGAAACATTTTGAATAACAAAGACACAATGTCCTCATAAACCACTGTAATGGAGTATAACTAGATCATACCCATGTCATAATACTAAATGGTTCTTGCAAACCACCAAAACCAGCTCACACAACCACACAATTACAGCATACAGCCACTCACAAACACACTCACACTCAAACACATTGGTATTGGATGTTTATGAAGCTTATCCATAGGCATACTGTATTTTATACTGCAAAAAACACTTATTTTATGGTGTTATGGCCTAACCCTAGCCCTAACCTCAACCCTCATTGAAAAACAGACAAATTTGAATGTCAAAAAACCATGTTGAGTATGATTTTGAAGCATTTTGAATTATGAGGACACAAGGAATGTCCTCATAAACCACCATAATAGAGTACAACTAGGTCATTCCCATATGATTACACTAAAATCTGTCCTCGCTAACCACCAAAACCAGCACACACACACACAAAATTACAGCATTCAGCCACTCACAAATACACTCCTGCACACACACACATACAAACACGCATTTCCTCTCTCAAACACATTGTTGTTGGTGGTTTACTGGGCCTCTTCATAGGCGTATTGTATTTTATACTGCAAAATCAACTTATTTTATAGTGTTATGGCCTAACACTAGCCCTAACCTCAACCCTTATAAGATACCCGTGCCAAAATGTTAACGTCAAGAGACCCTGTTAAGTATGGCTTAAAGTGCATGTCCTCATAATCCATCACAAAAGGATAAAAGTAGGTTATACCCATGTTATTATACAAAAATTGTCCTTGTAAACAGCACACACACAATTACAGCATTCAGCCAACAACAACAAGCACGTTTTTTTTTTTTTTATTCAGCCCGTACTAATGACAGTAAACTACCCGTTTCTACCACTGAGGGAAAATGTAAAGGGAAATTATTACTAGTTTTTTTGTATTGTGTAGTTCTGAGAGGGAAAAAAAAAGTCAAAACAGAAAGGAATACACTTTGAATTTAAAGAAATAAAGGTGCAAATCTGAGCATAAACTGAAAGAAATTAAATTAATTGTACGGCAGTCTGTAAACTTGCAATGCAAGAAAGAGTTTTGAGAATACAATATGTATTTGAAGATGTTGTAAGTTCAGAATTGCAGTTTATATCTCATAGTTTTCTCAAATTTGAGACTATTTTTTACAGATGTGAGTTTATAGGCTTGTGTTTCTGAGGTAATCTCGTTATTTTAACTCAGGACTGAGTTTATGAAAGTCTATAAAATAGCAATAATTAGACAAAACGTAATTCTGTTAACAAATAATAATAATTAAATGGCAAACCAGAAAATGTAGTTGCAATTCTGAAAAACTTAAAATTTGGGAAAAATCGCAATGCTGAAATAATTATTACAGTAATTAATAAGTCACGATTGTGAGAGGATTGTACGTTTTTTTTTATTATTCGAGTTCATCTCTCACAGAGAGAGTTTATATCTTGCAACTGAATTTTGTTTTACAAAAGCAAAGAAAAGAAACGCACAATTTTTTCACTCCACTTACTCTAAACATATACACTAACCGGCCACTTTATTAGGTACACATTACTAGTACCAGGTTGGACCCCATTTTGCCTGCAGAACTGCCTTAACCCTTCGTGGCAGAAATTCGACAAGCTACTGGAAATATTCCTTAGAGATTTTGGTCCATATTGGCATGATAGCATCACACTGTTGCTGCAGATTTGTCGGCTGCACATCCATAATGCCAATCTCTGGTTCCACCACATCCCAAAGGGGCTCTATTGGATTGAGCTCTGGTGACTGTGGAGGCCATTTGAGTACAGAGAACTGCTTTATAACATGGTGCGTTATCCTGCTGGAAGTAGCCATCAGAAGATGCGTACACTGTGCTCATAAAGGGATGGGCATGGTCAGCAACAATACTCAAAGAAACTCTCCCCCACACCATTATACCACGACTACCAGCTTAAACCAGATACAAGGCAGGATGGATCCATCCTTTCATGTTGTTGACGCCAAATTCTGACCCAACCATTCGAATGTACAGCAGGAATGGAGACTCATCAGAGCAGCAACGTTTCTCCAATCTTCTATTGTCCAGTTTTGGTGAGTCTGTGTGAATTGTAGCCTCAGTTTCCTGCTTTTAGCTGACAGAAGCGGCACCCGGTGGGGTCTTCTGCTGCTGTAGCCCATCTGCCTCAGGGTGTTGTGTGTGTTCAGAGAAGCTCTTCTGCAGAGCTCGGTTGTATCGAGTGCTTATTTGAGTTACTGTTGCCTTTCTATCAGCTGGAACCAGTCTGGCCATTCTCCTCTGACCTCTGGCATCAACAAGGCATTTGCTCCCACAGAACTGCCGCTCACTGGATATTTTCTGTTCCATTCTCTGTAAAACCTAGAGATGGTTGAGCGTGAAAATCCCAGTAGATCAGCAGTTTCTGAAATACTCAGAGCAGCCCGTCTGGCACCAACAACCATGCCACGTTCAAAGTCACTTAAATCCCCTTTTATCCACTTTCTGATGCTCAGTTTGAACTGCAGCCGATCGTCTTGATCATACATGCATAAATGCATTGAGTTGCTGCCACGTGATTGGCTGATTAGAAATGTGCATTAATGAGCAGTTGGACAGGTGTACCTAATAAAGTGGCCGGTCAGTGTATATTTAGAGGATTGCTGGTAACCATTGTCTTCCATTGTATTTTTGTTTTATTGTGACGGTCAATGGCCACTAGTTTCCGTCAGTCCAACAAACCAAATTTTGAGACCAAATGTCAGAATTACGTTTGTTTTAAGGTTTGTAAGTCTTCCATAATAAGCAGATGTTGGTTTAAATGAGGTTTTTGAGCACTGAATCTACCTCTCACACACACTGGATGGTAAAGGTGAATATATTGAGCATTTCAGAGCTGCTGTATATGCACAGGGTCTTTTCACTCACTAAACCTGCTTATATATCCCCTACACATTCATTCAGATTTGTATGTTATTTTGACAGCTATATTAGACTGACTGATGCAGTTTTATTCTGAATTACATTCATTATTTACATGCAGTAATCTTATCAGGTTTAAAAGCAGTATTGCGGTTCTAGAGGAGCTATATTTTTAACACACTAAGAATGCACCAGTTTTTATTTACCGTTTGTACTTATTGAAGCGTTTTGTTTTTTTATGAAAGTTCCAGAAATAAAAATAACTATTTTAGATGTATCAGTTTTGAGGACATCTATGATCTATCATGCATCAAAACAGTGACAAAATTCACGTTTCCCGCCTAAATAGATCTCCTGTCACCTCATACTTCAGTTATTTAAATATTGACCAATGAAATGCTCTCTAGGATCTGACATGCCCCACCCCCTTCTTGTTTGAGTTTCCTTTTTAAAGCGCTTAAGCTCAAACTCTCTGGCAGAGCTGTGATGAAAGCTAAACGCGATTGGCCCTTTTTCTTAAGAGGAGGAGCTACTCAATGCACATTTCAAAGCAACTCATGGGACTTTTATTAAATATTTAGCGGCAGAATGACTGGAAGTTGATGTCAGGTATGCATGTTTTTTTTTATAATATTAGTATGTACTGTATTGACGGCTCTGGTGATTCTGCCTCGGGGACTGATGTTACAGGGACTTTTATTTTGTAATGAGATTATTTTGAGTTCAATTATTGTTTAAATATGTTTACGTTCGTGTCCTGTGGCGCCAGCTCGCTGTTTCCAGAATAAAAGCCTTTCCTCAGAGGAGTCCTTCTGGATTTTTTTATTTTACATAATATTTCAGTGTTGACGTTAATGAACGTGGTGAGATGTGGCTGTGTATCGGCATGTTGGGAGGTGTGTGCTGGCTTGAGTCCGCAGGCCGGGTGCCTTAGTGCCCCAGAAGTGCCAATATAAAGCCATATCGCACTGCTACAAGTGTAATATTGCGATTATACAACAGTTCGACGACATAATTGTGTATATAAAATATAAAATCAAACATGGAAATTCTAAAACCCTTTGCAGAAACTGTTGCTAAATCACAAACATCACATTAGAGCTCGTATTTGAATGATTATGAATGAAACAACTGATTTTGCTGACATTTTAACATTATATAGATGAATGTGTGTGTATGTGTGTGTGTATATATATATATATATATTTATATATATATTTATATATATTTATATATATATTTATATATATTTATATATATATATATTTATATATATATATATATATATTTATATATACATATATATATATATATATATACATATATATATTTATATATACATATATATATTTATATATACATATATATATATATATATATATATATATATATATATATATATGTGTGTGTGTGTGTGTGTGTGTGTGTGTGTGTGTGTGTATATATATACACACACACACACACACACACATATACACATGTATATGTATATGTCATTTTTTTACCCGCAAAAACTAATTCTATATATATATATGTATATATATATATATATATATATATATATATATATATTTTTTTTTTTTTTTTTTTTTTTTTTACATAAAAACTATCCAGTAAACATAAAACTAGATATAATTAAGATTTTAATTTCCCTTATGAAGTGTGTATTTTCAGTGCTTGTGTTTCCTCTCACAGACACACGAGGGCGACAATTTTCACATTTGCACAGAAAAGTCCAGCAGGAGAATCTTGGTATTCAAGTTGTGTTTGAGTTATATAAGTATATATTAAATTATATTTACTTTACAGTAAGCTCCCATTTGGTTAGCATGAACTAACAACGAACAATAACTCTAAAGAATGAACATTTTTTTTAAGGGAAGTAAAAGATTACTGTTGATTTATGGGTAATTCTATTATAGTTATAATGTACTTGCCCTAAATACTGTAAGTAAAGTCAACAGGTCTGTATAAATCAGTTCGGAATAGCTAGAGTAATATATAATATATGCAAATTTATTTTGCTGAATATTTAAAAACAAATATTTTCAACTGAATAAGGTGACTTGTTGCACTACAAAAAAATCTAACTCAAAGTCTGACTCCAATTTAAGGAATTAAAAGAGTTCAATTGATATTGTCTTTTCATTAAGATTAAGGGATACAGCATATCCTTATTATTATCCTTCCAGTGAAAATGTTCATTTGTTTTCAACTGTATCATTACAGAATAACTACAAATCCAATTTAATCCCTTGTTAATGATGTAATTATTCATTAGTCGTGCTTTAGTTTAAGGTACAGTTCTCACTATGACTTTTAGCTCAATAAATTACAAACCGGCACTAGGGATGTAGAATAAGATCATACTTTATAAGTGCTAATAATCAGCCAATATCATAATAATTTACAGGTAATAAACCAAACTAAAGTAACAAACTAAAGTGTTACCTTAATTACATTTACAAACAACTCTGAAATTATTAACTTTACAAACATGCAAACAAGATAAATCTCACACAATATAAGATTCTGTTCGTAACACTTGTGAGTCACCTATTTTAATGGCATAATTCCAAACTGTAAATGTGTGTTATTAGTGTTTATATGGTGGCCATGCGTGTGAATATATAGTCATGCGCTGCTGTAAACACTGAACTCCTCCTCTACGGTGTCTGTGAAGAGATGAACCAGCAGGGAAGAGTCTTCCACGCCCTCAGTCAGATATTTCTCCATCTCCTCCAGCTTCTGCTTCTCCAGATCTCTCATCTCCTTCTCTATCTTCTGTCCTCTCTCCTAAACACACAAACATCCATTCGTTACTCCTCTGGCCACTGTGCAGGACTTGTATCTGTCATTCCCAAGACCAACTGATGCTGTATTGGCTGTAAAAGGAGGCCCTGCACCATACTCATGAATTACTGTGGTCTAAAATCAAGTGTTTCAGTTTATATACAAGTTTGTTTATATTGAAAACCTGGCAACCCTGCTTAAATGTGATGCTGATGGTTTAATTGTTAGTAATTGGTGGTTCATTCTGCTGTGGCGACCTCTAATAAATCAGGGACTGAGCCGAAAGAAAATGAATGAATGAATGTTGCGTACAGTTTGGGATTGGGCTAGTTGGTATGGTCATTGGGCTAGTTTTAAGTGGCTACTGGGCTGCTTCTGTTATGAAAACCTGCCTAAATGTGATGCTGATGGTGTAAATGGTGGTTCATTCCGCTGTGGCGAGCCCAAATAAATCAGAGACTAAGCTGAAGGAGGGTCATTGGGCTAGTTTTGAGTGATTACTGGGCTACTTCTATTGTAAAAACCTAGCAACCCTGCCCAAATGTGATGCTGATAGCGTAATTAGTGGTTCATTCCACTGTGGTGTCCACCAATAAATCAGGGACTAAGATGAGGGAAAATGAATGAATATTGCGTACAGTTTGGGATTGGGCTAAATGGAATAGTCATTGGGCTACTTTTGAGTAGTTACTGTGCTACTTTTGTTTTTTTGTATGTGGTGTCATTGGTGGTTCATTCCGCTGTTTCATCCGCAAATAAATCAGGGACTAAGCCGCAGGAAAATGAACGAATGTATATTGTGTACAGTTTGGGATTGGGCTAATTGGAATGGTCACCAAGCTACTTTTGTTGTGAAAACCTGGCAACCCTACACAAATGTGATCCTGATGGTGTAATTAGTGGTTCATTCCGCTGTGGCGACCCTTAATAAACCAGGGACTAAGCCAAAGGAAAATAAGTGAATGAATATTGGGTGCAGTTTGGGATTGGGCTAATTGGAATGGTCACTGAGCTACTTTGTTGTGAAAACCTGGCAACCCTGCACAAATGTGATGCTGATGGTGTAATTAGTGGTTCATTCCGCTGTGGCAACCCTTAATAAACCAGGGACTAAGTCAAAGGAAAATGATTGAATGAATGCTGCGTACAGTTTGGGATTTGGCTAGTTTGAATGTTCATTGTTCTACTTTTTTAGTGGCCACTTGGTTACATCTGTAGTGAAAACCTGGCAACCCTGCCAAAATGTGATGCTGATGGTGTAATTGATGGTTCATTCTGCTGTGGCGACCCCTAATAAATCAGAGACTAAGCCAAAGGAAAATAAGTGAATGAATATTGTGTACAATTTGGGATTGGGCTATTTGGAATGGTCACTGGGCTACTTCTGTTGTGAAAACCTGGCAAATCTGCCTAATTGTGATGCTGATGGTGTAATTGGTGGTTCATTCCACTGTGGTGACCCCTAATAATTATTAGAGACTAAGCCGATGAATAAAGTATGAATGAATGCTGGGTACAGTTTGGGATTTGGCTAGTTTGAGTGTTCATTGGGCTACTTTTTTTAGTGGCCACTAGGCTACTTCTGTTGTAAGACCCTGGCAATCCTGCCAAAATGTGATGCTGATGGTGTAATTGATGGTTCATTCCGCTGTGGCGAACCCTAATAAATCAGAGACTAAGCCAAAGGAAAATAAGTGAATGAATATTGTGTACAGTTTGGGATTGGGCTAGTTGGAATGGTCACTGAGCTACTTCTGTTGTGAAAGCCTGGCAAACCTGCACAAATGTGATGTTGATGGTGTAATTAGTGGTTCATTCCGCTGTGGCGATCCCTACTAAATCAGAGACTAAGCCAAAGGAAAATAAGTGAATGAATATTGCGTACAGTTTGGGATTGGGCTTGTTTTAAGTGGCCACTGGGCTACTTCTGTTGTGAAAACCTGGCAACCCTGCCTAAATGTGATGCTAATGGTGTAATTACTGGTTCATTCCGCTGAGACGACCCCTGAGAAATCAGGGACTAAGCCGTAGGGAAATGATTGAATGAATGAATATTGCATACGGTTTGAGATTGAGCTAGTTGGAATGACTACTGGGCTACTTCTGTTGTGAAAACTTGGCAACCCTGCGTAATGCGATGCTGATGATGCATGCGACAACTTTTAGAGCAATGATTTTCAGTTCAATTTTGCAGAACGATGGCTACTTTTCTATTAAAAACATGCAACAATATTGTATCTCTAACACATTTCCCTAATTAGTTGCCCTGTGTCTGACCTGGTTGCAACATTGCTCGAAAAGTTGCCCAATTCATTATCAGACATCTCAGACACGTTTGCGATGTGGAGGTGTTTTCAGCTGACCCCAGAGCTGTCGATGATGGCCGCCGCCACCTCGTGCTTCAGGAACAGCGGGTGTTTGCGGTTGGGTTTGCTCTGGAAACGGGGCTTCTTCTTCACTGGATCCTCCTCCCCGAAACATGGAGAACTGGTGTGTTTCAGCGGCGGCACGTCAGACACAAACACAAACGGCTTAAACACAGACCTGTGGATTAGAGAGAGTAAATGAAACACACGCGCCGTTACAGTCATGTCAAGAGTTTGCACATATTAAAACATAATTTAGTCACACTTTTTAATTCTCGCTATTAAAAAACCATTAATTTTTGCCACAATAAACGTACGTTTCGTTCTTCTGTTAAACACTAAAGAAGATATTTCGAAGAAAGCTGTAACCATTGACTTCCACTGTAGGAAAAACACATACTATAGAAGTCAATGGTTACAAGTTCCCAACATTTTTCGAAATATCTTCTTTTGTGTTCAACAGAAGAAAGAAATCCATAAAGGTTGGAAACAAGAGCGAGTAAAGGACAGAATGATTATTTTTTCTGTGAACTATCCCTTTAATATCCTCTCTCCTGGCGTACCGTTCGGGGTCTGGAGTGGCGGTGAAGAAGTGGACTCCGGGTAAATGATCAGCTTTGGGGATGACAGACACCATACTGCCTGTGCTCATGAACATCCCCTCCATGTTGATCCCGCTCTCCTTATCCCGCAAAATATCCATCATCGTCTGTGCAGAGATGTGGCCTGGAAGAAAAAAAAAAACACAACACAACACAAGTGAGTTAATTTAAAATAATGTTTTTTTTTTTTTTAATAATAAAATATTATAGAATCATAGAGGGGTGGTTAGACTGTGGCCTCACAGCAATAAGGTCGCTGGTTTGAGCGTCGGCTGGACCAGTTGGCATTTCTGTGTGGAGTTTGCATGTTCTCCCCATGTTGGCGTGGGTTACCCCCACAGTCCAAACACATGCGCTATAGGGGAACTGATGAACTAAATTGGCTGTAGTGTATGAGTGCGTTTGTGTAAGAGTGTATGGGTGTTTCCCAGAAATGGGTTGTGGCTGAAAGGGCATCCGCTGCATAAAACATATGCTGGAATAGTTGGCGGTTCATTCCGCTGTGGTGAGCCCTGATAAACAAGGGACTAAGCTGAATAATGGAGGTTGTTACTGTAGAACGAACCCTTTTCACAAGACTGTTACGTGTTACGAAAGTTCATCAGCATCTTAATCCTTGAAAGTTTTTAATATTGTGGTTTTAAACCATCATAATAAACATATGAACATTAATATGTATTTATTATTACAAATAACTATTAGTATTTATTTAATATTATTTATTTCTGTATGATATCATCTTTGAATCAAATTACGAAAAAACAATTACCGCTTGTATGGGCATACAGTCAGAATTATTCGCCCGCCTGTTTATTTTATTCCCCAATTGCTGGTCAACAGAGAGAAGATCATTTCATCACATTTCTACACATAATAGTTTAATAACTCATCTATATTTGACTATATATTCTTCAAGACACTTCTATACAGCTTAAAGTGACATTTAAAGGCTTAACTAGGTTAATTAGGTTAACTAGGCAGGTTAGGGTAATTAGGCAAGTTATTGTATAATGATGGTTTGTTCTGTAGACTATCAAAATAATACAGCTTAAAGGGGCTAATAATATTTTCCCAAAAATGTTTTTAAAAAAATTAAAAACTGCTTTTATTCTAGCCGAAATAAAACAAATAAGACTTTCTCCAGAAGAAAAAATATTATCAGACATACTGTGAAAATTTCTTTGCTCTGTTAAACATCATTTGGGAAATATTTAAAAAAGAAAAGCAAATCTAAGGGGGGCGAATAATTCTTCAACTGTATATGGGGCAGGACAGTACATTTAATGTTGTTCTTTTCTCTGGCTGTTGTTATTGGTCATATTTGCAAAAAAAGCACATAACACAGCTAATAAAGAGTAAAATCACCGCAAATTCTGCATACGCAAGAGAAATCCCTGTGAGTGTGTATTTTATTGGGTTCTGCCGATTTCGCTCTGGATGACAAATAGGCATTTTTAAGTAGATTTTCAAACAGAAACAAAATCTTCTTTACGGGGTCAGTTCGACTGCATTTTTAAGACCTTTGAAACAGATTTAAGACATTTAAAGACTAATTAAGACTTTATTTTTTATTATGGAACTTAAGATGTTTTAAGAGTTTTTCAGAATCCTCGGACACCCTGCAACAACTCAGTTGAAGTCAAAATATTACCCAAATTAAAATATTTTCCAAATGATGTTTACCAGAACAAAAAAAAAATTCACAGTATTTCCTATAATATTTTTTCTTCTGGAGAAAGTCTTATTTGTTTTATTTCGGCTAGAACAAAAGCAGTTTTAAATTTTTTTTAAACTCATTTTATGGTCAATATCATTAGCCCCTTTAAGCTATATTTGTTTTGGATTGTCTCCAGATCAAACCACTGTTATACAATGACTTTCCTAATTACCCTAACTTTACCCTAATTACCCTAGTTAAGCTTTTAAAAGTCACTTTAAGCTGTATAGAAGTGTCTTGAACAATATCTAGTCAAATATTATCTACTGTCATCATGACAAAGAGAAAACTATGGAGGCTTGTTCTCGCCACTGAATGATAAAAAAAATGTATTAAAAAAAAAATAAAAATTTTAATAATAAAAAATTAAATAATACATAATAATAAAAGTCACAATTCTGAATTATAAAGTCACAATTCTGAATTATAAAGTCAGAATATAAAGTCAGGATTCTGACTTAATAACTTGCAATTCTGACTTTATAATTTTTTTTAGTACGCTGTTATTTAAATATTAATAATTGTTTTATTATTCAGTGGCGGGAACAGCTTCCATATAAAATAAACCGTTTATTAGAAATGAGTTATTAAAACTATTATGTTCAGAAATGTGATGAAAAAATCTGTTCTCCGTTAAACAGAAATTGGGGAAAAAAATATACAGGAGGGCCGATAATTCAGACTTCAACTGTATGTAAAATTATGAATAACTGAGATGTTTTTTTCGTTTAAAACACACTGCAATATGATCTTTATTCAGCAACAAACACACATTACCGTTGCTCTTTTGCAGCAGTTTCTGTCCCTCACAGTATCTTCCGCCTGCCGCCTGGATGCGGGCGGTGCTGGAGTACGAGTAAACATCAGTAAAGCTGAACTCGCTCTCTCCGTCCCACCAGCCCTGCTCTTTCGCGTACGTCCTCATCCCCGGGTGCTCCTTGTCAATCTTAGTAGTAATGGAGTACTGATTGGAGATGTTCCTGTAGCCGGCTTTAAGACAGAGAAACATATTAATTAATTTTTTTAACCAATATTGTTATTAATAATATTACATTTTAATTTTGTTAATATTATTAATAATAATAATAATTACTATTAATATCATATCATTATTAATAATTATTCATTTAATATGTTATACATTGTTTTACATTTTTAAAAATTAATAATACATTTTATAATAATAATAAAATAATAATAATAAATCAAATAAAAATAAATAATTAAAAATTATATAACAATATTTATGTGCAATAAAAAACTTTAGATCATTTTATTATTGCTTATTTTTGTGATTGTATTTATTGTCATTTTATATGCAATATTTATAATAATAATAATAATAATAATAATAATATATTATATTATAATATTATTATTATTATACAATATACATATTACATATATTTAGAAAATATTCTTATTGTGTATAATATATTTATTGATTTATTTTTACAATATTGCAAATGGGATTTTATATGCAATAATAGTAAAAAAGTATTATATTATTAATATAGATTATAATATTTTTTATAATATGTTATACATGAATATTATATATTAATAATATTAAAAATAAATTATATTATAAAAAATAGGGATAAAAATGACCTTTTTCTTCTGTATTATTCATCAAAGACAAGCAATACTTCATCATATAGAACGAACAATACAATATTAGAGCCTATTGTATCTTCCAAAATAAATATTTTGCACTTGCTTACACAAATTTACATGAATTATATCCAGGTATGCAGTGCTTAATATGTGAATTGCGAAGTCACGGAACAGATCGGGGTAAAGAATCCGGAAGAAAGGGAAAGTGAACAGCAGCAGGAGGAGGGCAGTTGAGGAGGGTGATCGGTAAAATGAGGAGCCAGATCCGATTTCGGAGGTGACAGATCCAGATCTGGCATGTTCCAGCACAAGTTTTAAAAGTAAAGACACTTCTGAAGTAAAACATATGTAATTTACTGTCTAAAAATGAATACAAACACTTTTTTTGTTGCAAAAAAATGCTATAAATGACAATAGTGTTATTTTAAATTTAGAAGAAATGTGATCAGCATATGCAGAATAAAACACACATGACATCCACAGGTCTCCACAAGACTGCTTTACTTTTCCATGAGGTGAACACAGTGCAGTACAAATAAAACATCTTTTAAATATCTCAATATTAACTTTATATTAAATTAATTACTAATCCCTAATTCCTAATTTACCCTCCACTCTCTCCGCAGCCCAGTGTTTCCCAGCAGTCTCCAGCACCCAGGCTTCTTTGCGGTCTGATATGAGGAAGCTGTTGTGGTACGTGAATCCACACTCGTCCTCCATGCAGTTTCCTCCCTGGCCGTATTTCTCCAGCAGATCTGTGATGACGTCCACAGCTTTCTCCGCCGTGTCGGCCCGCTCCAGAGCCAGCCTGAACACACAAGCAGAGCATGCAGATTTACACCACAGTCATTCAGTCACCATTCAAAACCTGCATGTGTTTACTTGTTTTGAAGAATGACGATAAAATGTATTAGAAAAAACCCGTCGTTTCACTTTGTCTGTTGCTTCTTATTAACCTTGCTGCTATTGGCCTCTGGGCTGCTTTGCTCATTCTGGCTCTGAACTCCTTGCCCCCTTAATTGCTGCTTGCAACTATATTTTTTATTGCTATTATTATTATTATTATCATTATTATATACATTTTTAATAAAGCTGCAAAATTTTGAAAAGCTGAAATGCTAAATATGAATTAGGACTGCATGATATTGGAAAAATCTGACATTCTAATATTTTTTTTTCTGTGATAATCATTGCAATATTTGCTGACTCACCGGACAAGATCCATGCCCAGAAGTGCCTCGTCACCATCCGCGCTCTCTCTGCCCCACACTGCCTCGTTCCCAATGCACACCTGATGCTCATTTGCCCCCATCTCTGCCCCCCACAGCCAGGCGGGGCGACTCAGCACCACTGCAAACGTCTTTTCCACCTGCTCGATTTCTATATACGTGCACTGAACAGATGGAGAAATAACAACACAATTCCAGACACTGTTAATACACTTCGAAACACACAAAGCACAGCTGAGCGTTTCCAACATCAGTACTTCAGTCTTCGTTATCTTTCAGAAATGCTGATTTTATATGATTTTTTTTTTATTATCGTCAGCGTTGAAACAGAGTTTTTATATATACAGTTGAAGTCAATTATTAGCCCCACTTTCAATTTCTTTTCTTTTTTAAATATTTCCCAAATGATGTTTAACAGATTCAGAAAATTTTCACAGTATGTCTGATAATATTTTTTCTTCTGGAGAAAGTCTTATTTGATTTATTTCGGCTAGAATAAAAGCAGTTTTTAATTTTTTTAAAAACATTTTTGGGAAAATATTATTAGCCCCTTTAAGCTGTATTATTTTCGATAGTCTACAGAACAAACCATCGTTATACAATAACTTGCCTAATTCCCCTAACCTGCCTAGTTAACCTAATTAACCTAGTTCAGCCTTTAAAAGTCACTTTAAGCTGTATAGAAGTGTCTTGAAGAATATCTAGTCAAATATTATTTACTGTCATCATGGCAAAGATAAAATAAATCAGCTATTAAAAAGTGAGTTATTAAAACTATTATGATTACAAATGTGTTGAAGAAATCTGTAAACAGAAATTAGAAGAAAAAATAAAGAGGGGGGCTAATAATTCTGGCCTTAAATATATATATATATATATATATATATATATATATATATATATATATATATATATATATATATATATATATATATATATATATATATATATATTTGGGGACAAATAGTTTGCATAATTATATAATCTTATCCCTGATTAATTAAAAGTTATAGCGTGATGCGCTGGAGCAGTAGGTAGTGCTGTCGCCTCACAGCAAAGAAGCTTGGCTGGGTCAGTTGGCATTTCTGTGTAAAGTTTGCATGTTCTCCCCGCTTTCACGTGGATTTCCCCCAGGTGCTGCGGTTTCCCCCACAAGTCCAAATACATGTGGTACAGGTGAATTGGGTAGGCTAAAAACTGTGCGTAGTGTGTGTGTGTGTGAGTGAGTGTGTATGGGTTTCCCAGTGATGGGTTGCAGCTGGAAGGGCATCTGCTGCATAAAACATATGCTGGATAAGTTGGTGGTTCATTCCGCTGTGGCAACCCTAGATTAATAAACGGACTAAGCCGAAAAAAAAATGAATGAATGAATGAATGAATGATTAAAAGTTGAGATAACAGGGGACTAAACAAGGAACAGGTAGACATAATCAGTAAACTAATGAGTAACTATGGAAACTAAGAAAAACATGGAGCACAGAATACAAACATTTAATTCATATTCAAAATACAGAGTTAATTTAAAATTCTATTCATCATAGATTTCCGAAGTAGCGTTGTTTACACGCTTCCGTCTTTCAGATGAGACGTTAAACTGAGGTCCCGACTCTCTGTGGTCGTTAAAAATCCCAGGATGTCCTTCGAAAAAGAGTAGAGGTTTAACCCCGGCATCCTGGCCAAATCTGCCCACTGGCCTCGGTCCATCATGGCCCCCTAACCCTCCCCATATCGTAACTGGCTTCATTACTCTGTCTCCTCTCCACCAATCATGTGTGGTGTTCGGTCTGGGGCAAAATGGCTGCCCGGGTTGATGCTGCACACTAGTGGTGGATGAGAAGATTCCCCACATTGTGTGAAGCGAATTGAGTGCCCAGAAAAGCGCTATATAAATGTTAGGAATTATTATTATTATTATTACACAAAAATAGTTTGCAGAAAAAAAGTTTTTAACTGAAAAGTTCAGTTTTTAACTGATAATTATAAGATATTTTCCCCCAAACCAGGGGCGGACTGGCCATCTGGCAAATGCCAGAAGGGCCGGACCATTTTTTAAATGTGGGCCGGTCAGCTATTTTTATTTTATTTTTTCATATGTATTGTTTTTTAAATGCATTCAGCTTTTATCTCGTGCGAGATGTGAATATTATGATGATGATGATGGTGATAATAGTAAGAATAATAGTCAATGTTAAGCATTGGCCCAATCGGCAACAACCGGCTGGTTTCAAGATGGGCCGACCCAATCTGAGGTTACGCAGACGTAATCAAAATCTTGCAAGAATGTCAAACAAACAGTAAGTGCAACACAAGCTAATTGACAGAGATGGACCATAAAAAGGGAAAGGCAGTCAAGCCAGTCATTGCCAAATACATAAAATTACTGAACTAGTCTCGAAAGGGGGCAGTGCAGTGGCGCAGTAGGTAGTGCTGTCACCTCACAGCAAGAAAGTCACTGGTTTGAGCCTTATCTGGGTCAGTTGGTGTTTCTGTGTGGAGTTTGCATGTTCGCGTGGGTTTCCTTCTGGTTTCCTTCACAAGTCCAAACACATGCTGTAGGTGAATTGGGTAGGCCAATTGGGAATTGGATAACCCAGTAATGGGTTGCAGCTTTGAGGGCATCCACTGTGTAAATCATATGCTGGATAAGTTGCCGATTCCCAGGTTAATAAAGGGACTAAGCCGAAAAGAAAAGTAATGACATGATTGCATATATAAATGGGTTGTTTTTGTTCCAGTCATACACATTAAATGTTTAAATATCTCTTAAATATGGTACTGCTTGTATAATTTTACCATCTGTACACCAACATAAGTAGTGAATGTGCGTGTCCTTGGGTGGGGCTGTGTCGGTGTGGTAATGTGGGCTGGTGTGGCTACAGTGCCAGGGCTGATTTTTAGTCCCAGTCCGCCCCTGCCCCAAACTGACTGCTAATAAAAACCAATAATGATTATGTTATTTTGTGTTTGACATCTTTCATTTTTGATGATCAATACCTCAACTTTTCCTGGTTCATGTTCCTTTGCAGGGAAGTAGACCACCTCCTGAACCTCATCGCAGGGTCTGTCCGAGTTCTTCCCGAAGATTATCCGCTGACCCTCAGTGGACGGCGGCAAGGCTACAAATGTGTCACAAGACCTTGGGTACATCCTGAAATCTAAACAAATACATAAATAAAGTTTAATTGGTCGATTTATTTTGCTCATTAGCATTCACTGTTCATGTGCAGAAAATTAATGACAGTAACAATGCCAAATGTAAATATTTATGCAATAAGTACACGATAATCATTAATCATAAACAAAATAACACATTAACATCATTTATAAACTCTGAGTATGACTCAGGCCTTTGCATATAACATTATTTACCCCCAATATGGCAGCTTTTAAGAGGTTATCCGAAAATAAATTAGCATATAACTCGCATGCATTAGGTAAAGTTAATATGATTAAATAATATGATTTACCTCAGCGTATATACATGTATCAGAAACAAAGACAACCTGTGTTCTGCTCGAAGAGAACAAGCATCTGTTTACTTTCCTTTTCCTTTCCCCATAAACAAAACTGCCGCAGACTTTGACATGAATCCGCATGCACCTTCACCTGATTCATAATCACATAAACAATCTGCTGGATAAGGGACACAGCAGTGCGGTCGATCCATATACGTGCTTAGTCAGCGATAAAGTAGGCGGGGCAATGGCGCTTTCTATACACGTCAAGTCACGTGGTTGTGCAGTAGCAGTGTTGATTGGCTATTTGATTTTGCTGTCGCAAAAAATAAATAAATATGATATATAATAAATTAGAGTAATATAAATAACAGATCTGACAACCATGAAAATATAGTTATGAAATAATCATAATTAAAATAAGAGCAGATATAATTAGGACTAAATAAATGCACAAATATATTAAACAATTATTGATGGATAATCAGTTTTATTGACAATATATTTATTATAGTGTTTATATATTTAATATAATATATTTAATGTATTTATTTTATTGATAAGAAATTTATTGAGATGTAATTAGGCTGTATTTCTATGGTTGAGAAATTAAATTAGGAATTTAAGACTTTTATTAAGGAAAATTATAAGGTGGTCATGGATACATAATTAAATGCTAAATAAATCTGGTAGTTAAGTCAATAAAAGATCACAATTACACAGTTACATAAATAAATACAATAACATTGCCGTTTTCATAGGTTGCTAAAGATTCATTACAATCTAAATTTAGCTGAAAGGCAGTGCACATTTACTGTTTTACGGGCTATATGTATCTTAATTTCATGCTATATTTGTTATTTTTAGGCTATATGCATTTTATTTTCATGCTATATTTGTTATTTTCGGGATATATGCAATTTATTTTCATGTTATATTTGTTATTTTCAGGCTATATGCATGTTATATATATTTTTATTTTATTTTATTTTTTATTGTTTTATTTAAGCAGGAATTTGTGGGTTTTTTATATGTATTTATGTATTTATTTCTATATTTATTTATTGTTTTATTTATGCAGGAATGTGTGTTTTTTATCTTTATTTATTTATTTATTTATTTATTTGCATAATTATTTATTGTTTTATTTATGCAGAAATTTGTGGGCTTATTAATTAATTTAGTTGCATATTTATTTATTGTTTTATTTCTGCAAGCATTTGAGGATTTATCAATTAATTAGTTTGTTTATTTGCATATTTGCATATTTATTTATTTATTGTTTTTGCAGGTTTCGTACTCCATAGAAAGAAAATTATCATAATAAGCTTTAAGAAAGTTATTATTCATTTTATTGTTAATAAGTTTAAGAGATTCACTGTTTTACACACAAAAAAAAACATTTATGATCTTTTGAGCCACCGTTGTCATTGCGTCATAAAGAAGCGCCGCTTTTGGTGGTGTTATGATGTTGTTTAGTCGAAAGCGCTAAGTTTAATTCTTAATAACACTTTGGTCGTATCGCTGGTGATTAAACATGGGCAAATCTTTTGCTAATTTCATGTGTAAGAAGGATTTCCATCCTGCATCAAAATCCAACATAAAGAAGGTGAGAGGGTTTAAGCTAGCATGCTAATACGCCTCGAGTGTAAACATTAGGCTGACTTTGTTCAGATCGAGTCATATTGTAGTAATGATATCATAATTAAATGTTTGCTAAATTAATTATATTAAGCAGCTTTCCCGTTAATTTATTTGATTTTGTATGTTTGTTTGTGAGGGAATTGCCCAAAAAAACTGCGATTCCAGCGTTACGGATGTGATACAGTAAAGACTTTAAACATAAATTCATAGAAAATGTATGTGTTAACAGTAAGTTATATTTAAACAAAAGTTTATATTTTCCCAAAAACAAACCACAGAGTTAAGGGATCAGACAAATATCAAACTGTAAACTTGTTTTATATTCTAAATGATGAAATAATTTTTGTAAATAATTTTTTGTTTATTTTTCCCCCAGTTTCTGTTTAACAAATAGAAGATTTTACCAACACATTTCTAATCATAATAGTTTTAATAACTCATTTCTAATAACTGATTACTTTTATCTTTGCCATGATGACAGTAAATAATATTTTACTATATATTCTTCAAGACACTTCTATACAGCTTAAAGTGACATTTAAAGGCTTAACTAGGTTAATTAGGCAGGTTAGGGGAATTAGGCAAGTTATTGTATAACGATGGTTTGTTCTGTTGACTATCGGAAAAAAAATAGCTTAAAGGGGCTAATAATTTTGACCTTAAAATGGATTAAAAAAAATTCAAAACTGCTTTTATTCTAACCGAAATTAAACAAATAAGACTTTCTCCAGAAGAAGAAATATTATCAGAAATATTGTGAAAATGTCCTTGCTCTGTTAAACATCATTTGGGAAATATTTAAAGTTCAAATAAAAAAATAAAATGGTGGCAAATAATTCTGAATTCAACTGTATATAAAATAAGCTGAAACAACCCAATTATTGAGCTTTGGTTTTGGGACAACTTAATTGTTTCAATCCACTTAAATTTGTGAAAAAATAATAGGTTATTTATGTAGTCCTAACACAAGTCGATTGTGTGTAACTGTTAATGCAGTCCCTATATTGTTTACCACACTACTTTGAATATTCGGTCTGAAAATGCATACAAGTATGCTAACAGTGTTGTTCTTTTATAGCCATTGGCTACTAAAATGATTTCCCTATCTAGAATTGGCAATTATTACTTTTTTCCAAAGTCTGAATGTGTGAATATAAAACCAACTTTACCCCAATTACACTTGGCTCTTTTTGTGTGAAATTAAATAAAATTGTCGGAAAACGGTGACAGAGACATTTTTTAGTGTTTTTAAAGTACTGCAAAGTCTACGCAAACAACTTAGAAAGGGTTTCGCTGTTTTGACGAAAAGACTTTTTTATAGCAAGGTTGAGTTTTTGCTTGGCATTGCTCTCTTCATTATTTTTTGTAGTTATTGTTATGTTCTTTTATAGCTCTTGGCTACTAATATGATTTCCCTATTTAGACTTGACAATTATTAAGTTTTTTATTGTCCGATTGTGTGAATATAAAACCAACTTTACCCCAATTGAAATTCGCACATCTTGTGTGACTTTGGTAAATCTAATAAAATAGTTGGAAAACGTTGACATTGAATATTGTTAGAGTACTGCAAGGTAAAAACCTACGCGAATGACTTTTTTTTTGACAAAAAATACTTTTTCATAGCAATGTCGGCGTTTTGCATGTTATTGCTCTCTTCATTATTTCGTTATTATCAGGTATGGATCGCAGAACAGAAGTTGACCTTCGAGAAGAAGCAGCAGGAGGAGCTGATGCAGGCATATGTGAAGGAGCAGGAGACTTACAACAACAGGTAGAAAATTAAATGTGCTGGAAAAGAGTTTAAATCAGGGTCTTTTCGATGTCACAGACCACCAAATATGACCATCCTCATTCATAAAGTATACACACAGGGTTCCCACGGGCCTTTTTCAGGAGAAATGTTCCAGTTTTCCAGTCGAGAAATTGTAAATCTATATTCTTTGGACAATTTGAGATTCATTAATTCGTTTTCCTTCGGCTTAGTCCCTTTATTCATCAGGGGTCACCACAGCGGAATTGTCTGCCAATTTATCCAACAAATGTTTTACGCAGTGCATGACCTTCCAGCTGCAACCCAGTACTGGAAAACACCCATGCTCACTACAGCCAATTTTGCTTATAACGCATGTGTTTGGACTGTGGGGGAAACCAGAACACCCGGAGAAATCCCATGCCAACATGGGGAGAACATGCAAACTCCACACAGAAACGCCAACTGACCCAGCCGAGACTCGAACTACATCACAGACATCAATTTTTTAATGATGTATAAAACATGAATCACATTCTGGTCATCTGATATTAAGCATGGATATATATATATATATATATATTGTGATCGTAATTGTTAAAATTAGTCGACTGCAAAGCTTCTCCGTACTGTTTGATAGAGCACTCGTACCCGGAAGCTGCTTTGCCTGATGTCACACTTAACAAGCGGATACTGTCTCTGGCTGTTTATTTATTTCAACCAGTCCCTGAATATTGCACTAAAAATGTCTGATTATTGCAGCCTAAAATCAGATTTTGCTTCAATGTTTCTGGCATTTCTTGTGTTGTTTGGCTGTGGAAATATACGCAAATATACACTTAGTTCTCCTTTATATTTTTGATACCAAGAACCACTGGTCTCTGTCATTTATATAAAAAGAAAACTGAGAGAAATAGAGAAAGTTTGTCTTGTAGCCATATAAAGCAAACAAATATGTTAGAAAAATCTTATTAAAATGTCAATTTTTAGTGTTACACAACGAATATTGTATATAGTGTAAATATAATGAATATTTATTCTTTGCAGGTCATGGAAATTCATGAATATGAATTATGAATAGATCATTACGCTTTTAAAAACATTTTAATGTCTGCCCTGGTGTGTTACTCCATAAATGTTTTTTTATTTTCATATAATCAGGGATTTGCCTGTAGTAAATTGATAAAATGATTTGGGTTTTTTATTTTCCAGACTGCTGATGGGAGATGATCGTGTGAAAAATGGCCTTAATTTTATGTATGAAGCACCTCCAGGAGCATCTAAAGGTTAGAGACTTGCGTTTCAACACTTTTTTTTTTTGTGGTGGTGGCTCATCCAAAATAATACATATATATTTTACATTTTTATTTATATTTAGATATAAAAATATGTATATGATACAAATTATAAATAAATTTAAATATCTTTTGTAACAAAATAGTTTTGAATAGTTTGTTTTTATCAATGTATCACATATACATAGTAAATATTAATAATACACACACACACATATTATGTCAAAACAAACTTTTATTTTGGATGCGAATAATCTTTGCCCAGCACTACTTTTTTATTTAATTTTTTTATTTTTATGACACAAATGTTATTAAACATACTATATCTGATTTGATGTATACCTTTTTTGTGTTTTTTCCTTTTGTTTGTTTCTGTCATCACCAACATCCTGCAGAGGAGACTAAAGAGGTAATGTCCTTTTATTTACATGACAAATGAAGGAAAATAATAAATAGTGTAACAATAATAATAAAAAATAATAACTTTTATTTGTAAAGTGCTTTTTCAAAACCCAGAGCGTTACAACAATAGCAAAACAAAACACACACACACACCTAATAAAAAACAAGGATTCAATACAGAGAAATAATATACCATAATAATAATAATAATAATAATATTAATATAAGACTCTGTTAACATAATAATAACAGTAATATATCACATTCAAACATTAAAAAATTTAAGGATGCAATATTAAATAGATGAAGAAAAAAAAAAAGAAAATTCTTAAGGCGGCTAATAAAATTGACCTGAACTATGTTACAAAATAATAACATTAATAAAAATTTTATTTCAGCCAAACTAAAAGAAATAATACTTTCACCAGACGAAGAAAAAAATATTAGGAAAATGTATAAACACTAATGCAAACGTTTTATTTTTTAGATTTTGTTACTGTTCCCCTACTCCTTCAGGTACAATGATCGGTCAGAGGCTTCAAATAAGTTTAAATTAATTTAATGAATCAAATGGATAAAGCATACAGAGCACTCTGGGCTGCAGAATAAACCCTTTTACAGTATGAGGTTTACATGTGGGCATTCCACAACACTCTCTAACCCTAGCAGCCAAGTATATATCCCCGATTTCCCTTCGGCTCCACCCAGGGGCACTTTAGTAAGAAAGATCCTCCTTCCAGATCAGTTCAAACATCAATTCAATCATTAGTTGTTAGGCAGAACAGCATATATGCACAGAAAAAGTTACGTATACACATGATAGAGCCTGAGAGAGAGTGAGCTTGAGCCCCTCCCGCACGTGACTGTTCCTGTAAATGAGCACACTCAGGAAGAAAAGATGCAACATTAAATTGATAACAAGTACAGTGGAGTTAGCTTCTCGGTTACCAGTCACGCAAAGGCAGAGCTGCTATGGAGCAAAATTACATGAGGTTAAGCACATAAGGTTACACATCAACATAAGTACATGCAAGTAGTTAAAAGCAGAATTAAACTATTAATGCAAGGATGAGTCTATTAATGCGTAGGATGAAGTTTAAATCATCAAACATTCCTTCATTACCAATAAACTGTTCCATTCAAAAAATAAATATATAAAATAAACAAGCCAACAAATAAATAAGTAAATAAATAAAATGTTATTTTTGGACTTTTACTTCACTGATCATGTTTATAGTGATAAAAAGCCATATTTATTGTTACATTCTGTACCTAACATGACTTTTTATGCTCTTTTGTTGTTGTTGTTGTTCATCTTCTTAGGGAGGAGAGTCAGAGTACAAGTTTGAGTGGCAGAAAGTGGCTCCTCGTGAAAAGTATGTTCATAAATACATGAATGAACAATGCTTTATCTCAAACTTCCACATTCACTGTACACTTTGTATTTCTTACTGATGTTATATTCCTTTTCTTAAGGTATGCGAAGGATGACATGAATATTCGAGATCAGCCTTTTGGCATTCAGGTGACCTTGCATTCAGAAATGTAGATGAGCAATTACTGCAGTAACACTTTGATTTAAGTACCAATTATTAATTATCACATGTAATTTAAGGTTTTATAGCAAGAAAGATTGTATGTAACATTAGATTGTATAGGAGTTGTAAGCTCAATTCATTTGGACCAAAGGTAAACAATTATATATTTTTGATTATTCATGCTGAATGTAATTTTCTCCATAATAAACAAACATTTAACTATGTTAAACTTTTTAAAGAAACGTTATGCTAGGTAGGTATACAACTAGAGTTCACTTGTTTATTTAAAATATGCGGCTAAGAAATAACTAAATTCAATTTTGTTTGGATGAAGCAAGCAAAAACTATTTTCTTTAGCATTTAGAAGTCATACATTTTGCTCACAATGGTCTCAAAAAATCCTAATTTTGAGTCGACGAAACCTGCAAAACCCTTAGTTAGTGAGAATTGTACTTTATAAGAAAGTGTAAATGTTAATTGGTCATTCACAAATGTGTAATGTGTTGTTGTTGTGTGGCTCTTCATTTGCTGTAGGTGCGAAACGTGCGCTGTATTAAGTGTCATAACTGGGGTCATGTGAACACTGACCGCGAATGTCCGCTGTTCGGCCTGTCGGGGATCAATGCCAGCTCCATGGCCGGAGATGAAGCAGGTACAGTGGTCTTTCATTATACACTTGAAGTCACAATGATTCACCCTCCTGTGATATTTATCAAATATTTCCCAAATGATGTTCAACAGATTCAGGAATTTTTCACAGTATTTCCTATATATATTTTTTCTTCTGGAGAAAGCCTTATTTGTTTTATTCCGGCTAAAATGAAAGCAGTTTTTAATTTTTAAAAACCATTGTAAGGTCAATATTATTAGCCCCCTTAAGCAATATTTGCTTTCTACTAATATTTGTCAACAGAATAAACCGCTGTTGTACAATGACTTGCTTAATTACCCTAACTTTAATTAACCTAATTAGGCCTTTAAATGTCTTTTTGCGTTACTAGTAGTATCTTAAAAAATATCTAGACAAATAGTATGTGCATTATGGTAAAGATAAAAGAAATCAGTTATTAGAAATGAGTTATTAAAACTATTATAATTAGAAATGTGTTAAAAAAAATCTCTCCGTTAAACAGAAATTGGTGGAACAAATGAACAGGGGAGCTAATATTTCAGGGGAGCTAATAATTCTGACTATATATGTGTATGTGTATATATATATATATATTGTTAAAGTCAGAATTATTAGCTCCCCTGAAATATTAGCTCCCCTGTTCATTTGTTCCCCCAATTTCTGTTTAACGGAGAGATTTTTTTTAACACATCTCTAATATATATATATATATATATATATATATATATATATATATATATATATATATATATATATATATATATATATATATATATATATGCATAACAATATATATATAGCCACCACAACCTTAAGATACTCCTGGAGGTGCTTCATTCATAAAATTAAGGCCATTTTTCACACGATCATCTCCCATCAGCAGTCTGGAAAGTGAAACACAAATCATTTTAGAATTGTGTTAAAAACATAATCTTCTTTCTGTTAAACAGAAATATTCATATTTAAGGAGAGCTAAAAGTTCTGACTTCCACTGTATATTACATGATTCAAAGTGTCCCACTGCATGTTCATTGAGAGTTAGCTTTGCATTAGAGCTGATATGCACTATTAGACCTGAAGGTGGCGCTGCTGTCCAATAATACACCAATAAATTCTTTAATACCTGCAGAAAATGTTCACCCGGGTTATTTGAGGCAATCATCTGAACTGTGAAAGACATACAGGACTCTTAATGAATTTAATGAGATTATTCTCATTATTTCTTGAATTTTGTCTCTAAATTTAGTTTAGTTAATCTGATTTTTATTTTATTTTTATTATTGTTTGGTGCGGATTAATTTTTTTATTACATAGCCCTTATCCTCTCCCATATTGTGTATGTATACGGCGGGAAAAATAAGTATTGAACATTTATCTCAGAAAGGATACACGAGAAATCAAGCTGTAGAATGGCCCAGCCAATCACCTGATGTGAATCCAATAGAAGATATAAATTAAAAATCAGGTTTAACAGATCCCACAGAACCAGATTTTTTTAGTTACTTGCTCTAAAAGTAGCCCTATATGAACCAAACATCAGTGCTACATATCTGAACCCGTCATAACGCCAAAATAATACATTTTAAAGACATTTGGCAACCAAACCACATTGAAAAGTAGCGATGCTTGTACAGTAGTAGTGTAAACTTTCCAATACTTTACTCCCCAGTCAGTCTGTGTAGTTTTGTCCTCTATATCCTGTCCTATAAGCAGATCAATGTGGAGACACTACAGTAATATGTATGTTTCTGTCATAGATATCACTGTTGTGTTGCTGCAAAGTGCTATCATTTGTGTTTTGATTGGTTGAAAGCTGTAATATGGTCCAGCTGAGAGACGAGAGAGTTGATTTGTCTTTGTGCGTGCTTGTGTTAACCCAGCGCTAGCGTACATGTCTTGGAGAGGGGTGCACGGAGGGGGCCACGCATTATTTGTTCTGAAAGAGTGATTTTTGTCCTAACAGGTCCGTCGATGCACCCCTCCGAGTTAATGGCGGAGATGCGAAACAGTGGCTTTGCGCTGAAGAAATGTGTCCTTGGGAGGAGCAGCACCATGAGTGATCCGGCACAGGTAATCTGCACAAATATCAGCCATCATATCCATGTCTGGAGCTCAGCATGTGTTGCTGGAAACACCTCGGATTATTGAGCGGGTGATGTCCTCGAGGGGTCGACTGAAGCTCATGAGCGCAACGACTACAATTACAAAACATTTTACAGTGCAAGCGGTGGGAATCTGTAGGGAGTTCATGATCTGATTCTGGGAGTCACGATTAGATTCCAAAACAATGCTTGCACTATATGTTTTCCTGCTGTGCAAACGCATCTGTCCAACTTTACATTTGAACCAGGATTCGAGATTTTCAATTCAATTCAGCTTTATTTGTATAGCGCGTTTACAATGTAGATTGTGTCAAAGCAGCTTCACATTAATGGTCATGGTAAATTAGAACAGGGTAGTTCAGTTTTTAGTGTTTAAGTTCAGTTCAGTTTAGCTGAGTTCAGTGTGGTTTAAAATCACTACTGAGAGTCCAAACACTGAAGAGCAAATTAATCGATGCGTAGCTCTACCGATCCCAAACCATGCAAGCTAGAGGCGACAGCGGAGAGGGAAAAAACCTTCACCGATTGGCAAAAGTGGAGAAAAAAACCTTGAGAGAAACCAGACTCAGTTGGGCACGACCATTTTCATTTCTCCGCTGGCCAAACGTCTTGTACAGAGCTGCAGTCTCAGCGGCGAAGACTCGTCTGTCCGTAGAGCTTCACTGGAATCAGTCTGGGATTGAACTGCGGTGGTCATGGAAGTATTGAACGTTTATCTTAGAAAGCATACACAAGAAATCAAACTGTAGAATGGCCTAGCCAATCACCTGATGTGAATCCAATAGAAGATATAAATTAAAAATCAGATTTAACAGATCCCACAGAACCAGATTTTTTTAGTTACTTGCTCTAAAAGTAGCCCTATATGAACCAAACATCAGTGCTACATATCTGAACCTGTCATAACGACAAAAGAATGCTCCATGACCACCGCAGCAGCTGCTCAGGATACGGCCTGGTCCAGGATATGGAAACCTTGTGATCATCTGGTCTTGGATCAAATCAGTGACTCTGAGGGCCTCGGGAAGAGTATCCCCAGGTGGAAATGGAGAATAAAGAGAATAATTAGCGTAGCTGCTGTTCATATATATATATCACACAGTTACAATAAGAATTATTAAAACGCCTTAATTATTAGCCCTCCTGATTATTTTTTTCCCAATTTTTGTTCAACATAGAGATTTTTTTCAACACATTTCTAATCGTAATACTTTTAAATACTCATTTCTAATAACTGATTTATTATATCTTTGCATTTTGACAGTACATAAGGTTTTACTATTTTTCAAGACACTTCTATACAGCTTAAAGTGACATTTAAAGGCTTAACTGGGTTAATTAGGGTAACTAGGCAGGTTAGGGTAATTAGGCAAGTTATTGTATAACGATGGTTTGTTCTGTAGTCTATCGAAAAAATATAAAGCTTGAAGAGGCTAATAATATTGACCTTAAAGTGTTATTTAAAATATTAAAAACTGCTTTTATTCTAGCTGAAATAAAAACAAATAAGACTTTCTTCAGGAGAAAAAAAAATATAAGAAATAATGTGCTTCTCATGATTTTTATTGTTGCTTTTTAAATAAACACATACTCCAATTTTGGTTCTTGCAACACGTATCAAAAAAAAAAAAAGTTGAAAAAGCAAAGCATTTACCACTTTGTAATGTTGCCATTTCTTTACTTAACACTTAAAAGATGTTTAGAAACTGAAGACACTAAGTGATGAAGTGTTTCAGGTGTCCTATTCTTTCTGCAAACAACTTTTGTGCTTCAGGACTTTGTGGCCAGCGAGGAGGAAGAAGATCCTGAGGTGGAGTTCCTGAAGTCTCTGTCCACCAAACAGAAGCAGAAACTGCTCAGGTATTGTTCAGGATTTATTGCAGCTTGGTCATTATCTAACTGCTGCTAATGTAAATGGGTGTAAAGAAATAATTGTAATGTGTTTAATTCTAATAATAATATTGGCTTTTTTTTTTTTTTTAAATCTGTCATTTTAACTTTGTTTTGCAGTTTATTATAGAGCCAGATCAGTCTCAAAAATAATACATTTACAAAATACATATCTTACATGCAAAGCACAATTCATGTTGACTTTGTTTTATTTTATTTTATTGTTTTTTCTTAATTATTGTACTTTACACTATTTTGTATTATTATTATTATTATTATTATTTATATTTAATTTATTTTGTTTTACTTTATTTCATTTTTATATTTTATTGTACTTTTTTCTTTCATTCATTTTCTTTTCAGCTTAGTCACATTATTAATCTAGGGTCGCCACAGCAGAATGAACCGCCAACTTATCCAGCATATTTTTTATGCAGCGGATGCCCTTACAGCTGCAACCCATCACTGGGAATCACCCATACACACTCAATCACACACATACACTACGGCCAATTTTAGCTTACCAATTCACCTACAGCACATGTATTTGGACTTTTGGGGTAACCGGAGCACCAGGGAAAAACCCACACGAACACGGGGAGAACATGTAAACGACACACAGAAATGCCAACTGACCCAGCCGGGGCTCGAACCAGCGACCTTCTTGCTGTGAGGCGATCATGTTTCTCACTGCGCCACACTGTTGCCCCACTTAACTTTTATTTTACTTTATATCTGTATGTGTTTGTTTGTGTATTAATATGTTATCTAGCATATTTTAACGTAAAAGTTTAAAAGATACAGCTTTAAGGGTTTCCTATACATTAGCATGTTTTTTAATGACTTTTAAAACTTTTTTTTACTTGCTTTTATTACTTCTTGCACTTTATTTAATTTTATTTATATTTTTTTTTACTTTATTTTACTTTATTTATTGTTCATTTTTATTTATACTTAACTGTACTTCATTTTATTTTTTATATGTGTATATTATTATTTGAGTATTTTTTTAAATATTATTTTTGTTTATTTTTTTGAGTTATTACTTCTTGCACTTTATTTAATTTATATATATATATATATATATATATATAAATACTCAAATAAAAATATACACATATAAAAAATTAATTCAAGTACAGTTAAGTATAAATAAAAATGAACAATAAAGTAAAAAATAAATAAATAAATTATATATATATATATATATATATATATAATTTATTTATTTATTTTTTACTTTATTGTACATTTTTATTTATACTTAACTGTACTTGATTTTATTTTTTATATGTGTATATTTTTATTTGAGTATTTTTTTAAATATTATTTTTGTTTATCATTTTTTTGAGTTATTACTTCTTGCACTTTATTTAATTTTATTTATATATATATATATATTACTTTATTTATTGTACATTTTTATTTATACTTAACTGTACTTGATTTTATTTTTTATATGTGTATATTATTATTTGAGTATTTTTTTAATATTATTTTTGTATATATATTTTTGAGTTATTTTACATATTTTAATGTAAACACTAAATATAAATGTGTTAATAAAAAAACCTAAATCAAAACAAACTAACAAAAGCTAAAACAAACAAAACAGTCAATTTTAAAATATTATGGAATTTCAAATAATAATCTTATTTCCAACTGTATATTATACCATCTTGGGGCATCAAGGTGGCACAGTGGGTAGCACAATCACCTCACAGCAAGAGTCGGTTTGAGCCCCAGCTGGATCAGTTGGCATTTCCATGAGGAGTTTGTATGTTTTCGTCATGTTCGTTTAGGTTTCCCCCACAGTCCAAACACATGCGCTGTAGGTGAATTGGGTAAGCTAAATTGGTCGTTGTGTATGTGTGTGAATGCAAGTGTGTATGGGTGTTTCCCGGTGTTACGTTGAGGCTGAAAGGGCATCCGCTGTGTAAAACATATACTGGATAAGTTGGTGGTTCATTCCGCTGTGGAGAACCCTGATTAATAAAGCGACTAAGCTTTCTCAGTGCTAGATTTGGATATAGTACTCATAGGCTCATCCTAATAATCTTAATCTGCCTTAGAAAACTGGACCGTCTGGAAAAGAAAAAAGACAAGAAGAAGAAGAGTAAAAAGAAGAGCAAAAAGAAGCAGAAAAAGAAATCGTCCAAGAGTTCGTCCAGCAGCTCATCGGACAGCAGCGACTCGGAGGACGAGAAGCACTCTGCAAAAAAGGCCAAGAAGAAGAAGAGCAAGAAGAAAAAAGACTCATCTAGCGACTCGGAGAGTGACTCCAAACACACACATCCAAAACACAGCAGTAAAGGAGAGAGAGAGAGTAGAGAGAGGAGGAGAGAGAAAAGCAGGAGCCCTCAGCGGTGGAGGGATGAGAGAGAGAGAGGTAAGGAGAGATGCAGGAGCTCCAGCAGAGAGAGAGAAAGAGGGACGAGAGACCGGAGGGAGAGAGAGAGGGATGACAGGAGGAGGAGGGAATGAGGGAGGGGTAGAAGTGACAGTAGAGATGCGGAGAACACTGTAAAAACTGATTAGTCAACTTTACTTTAAAGAGTGAGTAAACCTGTTTCTTTTAAATTCAACCAGTTTACTCACTTATTTTAAGTAAAGTCAACTAATCGCTTTTAAAGCGTAATATAAGTGAGTTACCTAGTTGCTTTTAAAGCGATTAGTCGACTTAAAATAAGAGACGTAAACCTATGGCTTACAAAGCAATTAGTTGATTTTACTTAATAAAGTGAGTAAACCTGTTGCTTTTAAAGCGATTAGTTGACTTTACTTAATAAAGTGAGTAAACCTGTTGCTTTTAAAGCGATTAGTTGACTTTACTTAATAAAGTGAGTAAACCTGTTGCTTTTAAAGCGATTAGTTGACTTTACTTAATAAAGTGAGTAAACCTGTTGCTTTTACAGCGATTAGTTGACCTTATTTAAAATAAGTGAGTAAACCCATTGTAACCTGGAATTGTTAAGTTAATTTAACTTAGGAAGTTTTTAAGTAAATAAATTATGTGGATAATTATAAAATTAAGACAAGTTAACTCATTTTAAGTAAAGTCAACTAATTGCTTAAAATTAGTGAGTAAACCCATTGCTTTTAAAACAGTTAGTAGACTTCACTTAAAACCAGTGAGTAAACCCGTTGTCCCGTTGACCCGTTGTTCATTTTATAATTATGCACATAATTTATTTACTTAAAAACGAAGTTAAATCCTTAATGTTTCCAAGTTACTATGGGTGTTCACTTTAAGTAAAGTCAACTAATCACTTTAAAAGCAACAGGTTTACTCACTTTATTAAGTAAAGTCAACTAATCGCTGTAAAAGCAACAGGTTTACTCACTTTATTAAGTAAAGTCAACTAATCGCTTTAAGAACAACAGGTTTACTCACTTATTTTAAATAAAGTCTACTAATCTCTTGAGTGAGTGAATCTATTGCTTTAAAACGATTAGTTGACTTCTCAAAATAAGAGTAAACCCGTTGTCTTAATTCTATAATTATGCACATAATTTATTTTCTTAAAAACTAAGTTAAATCAACATAACGTATTCAAGTTACCATGAGTGTTCACTTTAAGTGAACCAATCATTTTGAAAGCAATGGGTTTACTCACTTATTTTAAGCGATTGACTTTATTTAAATAAGTGAGTAAACCTGTTGCTTTTAAAATGATTAGTTGACTTGAAATAAGTGAGTAAACCTGTTGCTTTTATTACTTAACTTTAAAAGCAACAGGTTTACAAAAGTTTTGTAGTAAAATCAACTTATCGCTTTAAAAGCAACAGGGTAACTACATTGTTTAAGCGATTAGTTACCTTTATTTAAAATAAGCGAGTAAACCTGTTGTCTTAATTGTTTAATTATGCAATAAGCTGATTTAGTTCAAATAGTTAATTTCCAAGTTGCAATGGTTATATAATTTTTTAAGTCCGCTAATCGCTTTAAAAGCAACAGGTTTACTCACTTTATTAAGTAAAGTCAACTAATCGCTTTAAAAGCAACAGGTTTACTCACTTTATTAAATAAAGTCAACTAATCGCTTTAAGAACAACAGGTTTACTCACTTATTTTAAGCGATTAGTTTATTTTACTTAAAATAAATGAGTAAGCCTGTTGCCTTAAAAGTATTAAGCTAATTATGACAAGTTACGATGAGTTTAAGTTCAAAACTTGACGCTTTTAAATAATCACTTTTTACAGTGAGTGGAAATGAGAATAGCCGGATGTGAATGAACTGAAGCAGTCAGATTAAAGGAGGGAATCATAATGAAACTTCTGTCATCATTTACTCACCCCATATGCCATAAAAATATCTGTAAATCAACGTTTTTTTATGATTTGTGTTTTTTTTTCTCTCATTTATTTATGCTCTAGAATTAATTTGCGGGACTTTGAATTTTCCTCCAACCACTTTTGAGTTTAAAAATTTTGAAAAAGTGACTTTAATTGGCATTTTTAATAGTTTGGAGTGATATTGTCTGGGTTTGTGTTGTAAATTATGGTAAAAAAAAAACCTGGTAATGAACTGCTTGTATGTTTTCTGTCATTTTATTAACTTTCTTTATTATTTCGTATGCAATATATATTGTTTCAAACTTCTAAAATGTTAATAGAAATCATGTTGTTAAACTGCACAGTTGATTTCTTGACATTAAAAGTCAACAGTGCAGAGATCAACATCTCTTAATGCAATTCACAACTGTAAATATAAACAGGAAAAAAAAGGTGAATCACAAATTACAGAAACTGCTGTTTATTTACAGGTTACTTTTATGAGTTTCCATATTTCTGTAGGGTGCAATGGAAGATATTTTGACAAATGTTCAAACTCTGTAAACATTGACTTCCATAGTAGAAAAAGCAAATACTATTAAAGTCTTACAGGTTTATCTTAATTTGTGTTTATTAGAATAAAGAAGTGGGTTAAATGATGGCAGAATTTTTGGTTTTGGGTGTCCTATCCCTTTAATGTCATTCTTTAAATATATGTATAATAAAACGTGTTAGATAATAGAAATGGTTGCTATCGAGCTCCAAAGTTACCTTAGTTAAAGTCTTGTGCTATATTCCGTGTTATTATTATTAGCATTATTATATTATAGTTGCCATTGAGAAAAGAAAATGGAGGATTTTCAGTACATAATGACTTTAAAAGTGTTCAGTTTGGTGCAGATTTGGACTTGGAGACTAGATTTTTTTTTCATCTGAGCTTGATAGATGACGCTAAACTGCGTTTTTACAGAAATTAAACCTTCTCTGTTTGACAGACTAAAGAAAGCCATGAGGGTTTGGAGTGACATGAGGGTTAGTAAATGATGACAGATGCACTGTTCGGGGTAAATCATTTTCTTTGGGACTCTTTCAATAGTGCTCCATTTAAAGGGCATTTCTCCAGAAGAGGGCGCCATGAGAGTGGAGAAACTGAATTAGAGGAGGAATTAAATGATGTTTGATTCATTCTTCCAGTGTTTCAGTCCTCGTTCTACACATCTTCTGTTTTCTCCGAGAGTTTATCTCTTTGTAAATGTCATTTTTGTTTAATTCTGAGTCTTTACTAAAGGTTATAAATTCTACACATCATCTGAATTAATTGTTTTGCAGTTTGTTCATTTAATTTCAATAAACTATTATTTCTAAAGCTTCACCTTGAACGCGTTTATGCTCTTTATAATTTTAAAAATGCCTTAAATGCGGGTGTCACAATTGTGGACCATACGTGGATTCATTTGCCTCTAATCAGCCCCTGAATAGTTTCTGAAATAATTGTATTTGCATTTTTTTTTTGTTTTATTTTAAAAGCTGTTACCTTATAGTCATTGTTTTATTTGATATCCACCTTTTTAGCTGATCAATTAGTTTGTTGAATGTTGAAGTCTCGAGTAGTCAATGAAATCTAATTTATTTGTAGTTCTAGGTTAAAAATTCTAGGTTTGTTGTAAGTCAGCGTTGACACGAATGTGGACACACTCAAAGTTAGGTTACTATTATTATTATTATTACCAGTTTATCCCAACCAAAATTACAATTTTAACCCAATGGTTGGGTTTGTCAATATTTGACCCAATGTTGAGTTACAACAACCCCGTGTGCTGAATACAAAATTCTCCCCCATGTTTGAAAATTGATAACAACAACGCACTAATGCGTTTTTTAATTTTATAAATATTGTGTAGATTTAGCCTGTCGCAAAATAACAAACTCTTAAATCATTATTATTTAGCAATATTTAAATACACTCAAACCTAGCGTGGCGCTGATTTGTTTGCTTGTTAGCCTATAGGTAAAAAAACAATTACCTCACGTCACTTGAAAGTATAACAACCCGATAAATTTGATGTAAAGCATTAAATCATTAGCTGAGCTAATTCGTTGATGATTTATTATTATAAATATTCAATTAATGTGCAGACATGATCTGCGTTTGGAGGACATTCTCTGTCTGAGGGAGAGATGAAAGAGGAGAGCTGCGCGGGAAACTCGCACAAGCGTCACGGCGCATGAGTTTCCCGCGCTGCGGCCGGAGCGGCGCTCCTCTTTGATCTCTCTTTTATTACCGCGCGCAAACAAAGCTGACTTCTGCCTCGCGCTCAGTCAGAGGGCATTCCAGAAAAACCCGAACAAAAGGCCCTGAGTGACAGCGCTACTGTCCGCAACCCCAGGCGCATCAGGCCCTTCCAAAGGGCTGAAAAGCACTTAGATCTTGTCCACGAATAAGCTCCCGTTTGTAAATCTTAATAAAACCATATAATTGTAAAGCGTGCTCGTGAATGCCTTCACGCCCAAATAGCGCTCATTTCCGTAACACAAATTTTGAATTGTGTGCAATAAAATCGCTGCATCCTACATTAACTTTTAAAAGGCTGCGAGTTGTGTTCTGCACACCTGCTATTTGGGGAAAACATGGCCTAAATTGTTGCAGGTCGGAAATTGATTTTTAAAACCCGCGATATTCGATTTAATGATTTATATGCTTCAAATATTTTATTTTCGTTTTTATTTTTGGAAAATGTCAGGGTTTTTTTTCTCCACGAGGTCATTAAATGATAATGGGGCCATTTTCTATTTGTGTATTTTCTCCCCCTCTTCTTCAATGCTGCCTTTTCGGCACCGGCCACCACCGCACAAAAGGAAATGAAAATAATTTTAGTCTATTGCCTTCTGGTCAATTTACCTTGTAGCACAGAAAGCGTTTGGAGCCCTAACGAGTTCCCAGGCAGGGCTCGAGCTGTAATTATTCCGCCGGGTTTTCAGTGGGATCGGACGCTGCACTGGATAAACACAAAGAAGTCAGAGAGCATCCTTGAACCTTTTCAGTACAGGGCCACTGATATTCAAATAACAGCCAGGGACCATTTGACTGCGAGAGCATTTTAAATTCAACATTTGCATAAGGCCTCTCCCCGTTTCCCCATTTCAAAAGTGCCATCCAGAAAAGGCAAGAATGAAAGAAAGAAGGGGGGAAAAACTGTTCCCATAACACCAAATCAAGTGTAGCGTTTTATAAAAGCTAAACGACGCTTTATGCCTTCAGCCCTCTCTCGGATGGACATTTTCCGTTTGACATGCAAATTTAAGCAGTTAATTTGAGCAATTCAAATAAATATTCAGAGGCCCTTTGTCACCGAATCCCCTTGGAAAATGCGCGATAAAGAGCTGCTGAACAAATGATGTCTCGGAGAGTAATTAGATATTTGATAAGACACGAATCCCTAATCGCCAATACAAGACACATGGGGCTGCGATGTGCTCCAAGTCATAATTAATACTATTTAACAAGATTTTCATTTGGACAAAAATGCTTTCCGGGGCATTAACTATATTGATTTACGCCACTGGGGAAAACGAGTCTTTATTATCATTGTTATTATTTTATATGATGCGTTCTTTAATTTTTCTCAAATGTAAATAAATATTCGCATTAATTTCGCGCGGTGTCTGCGTTTGCCTTTTAAACAAATGCGATTTAGACTCGGGTGGATTTTGATGAAAACATTCGCATCAGACAACCCAAGCTTTAGATTTTAAATCCCTTTAATTACAAAATGAAAGCCTTATAAGCGTGACTTTATACAATTAAACATTTATATATTTTTTTAGCCAGGTAAAGGAAAGGTTAAATGAATTTTAAATAGCTGTGTAACATACATACTGACATCCACAAAGTGCGTCGAAAGGAAAGAAAATTCCCTGAATTTCAGGATCCACCACAAAACAGTCATAAGTAACATTTACAGGAGGGAAAAAAATAACATGATATTTTTGTGGATATATGTACACAGTTAGCTCAGCCAAAGCTAGGCTATTTAGTTCCTCTACCGCGCACTGATTCCACACCGAATGTCCACTCTTATTAAAATACCGAGCCTTTCCGAGACTTTGAATCGTCCTGAAAAGTGAGGTGTTTGTCTGTGCGGAGCAGAATTATAGCCAGTGTTGCACTGAATTCACTCTTTCCAATGCAAAAGTCTCAAGAAATGTCACATACTCCAGACCCGTTTCCTTTTCTTGATTCACCTTGGAGAGAGGGGGGAGAGAGAAACAAACGCTTTGAGGTCATTGTCGTAAAATCGCGCTCAGGACTCGTGGTGCGGAGACTGATCTTTGACCGTGACCCGTGGGTTTACACCCTCCAAAATCAGTTCGGGCGACTCGGACCTGGGGGTCTCCAGGTTGCTGGTGTCGGTGTCGCTGTCGCTTCCCTTTTTGCCTCCGCCTCCAGCGGTGTGTGTTTTGATGTGTTTGCTCAAGTGGTCGCTCCTCATGAAGCGCTTGTTGCACACCGGGCACGCAAACCTCTTCTCCCCGGTGTGGGTGCGCAGGTGCCTCTGGAGCTCGTCGGATCTGGTGAATCTTTTACCGCAAAAAAGCCAGTTGCACACAAAGGGCCTCTCACCGGTGTGCCACCTCAGGTGCGCTTTGAGGTGAGATGTTTTCCCGTAGACTTTCCCGCAGCCCGGGATGTGACAGCTATGAAGTCCTTTTCTCCGCAGGCTGGCGCCTGCAGGCCCAAGCCGCTCCGCCTCTTGGCAGTTCGGGCAGTCGCATGTGGCCCGCCCGGAGTATCTCCTGGAGGATCTGGATGAAGTCCCGATGCCAGAGCTGGCGCCCGATATCATGGCATTCGTGGCTGACGCGTCCGTGTATGTGGGAATCACAGTTTTGAACCCCTCCTGTGTCAACAGGTGTTGACTAGTGGACAGGAGGTGAGACGCGGTGGGGCTGATGCCAGTGGAGCTAAACGCGGAGTGCGTGAGGCTGGAGAAGTCCGGGTTGTAGCCGCTTAGCTGGGAGTGGATGGCTTGGGGGGTCCCGGAGTGCAACGAACTTTGCAAAGTGCCAGCTGGATTTTGCACTTCGAGCCACGAGCCCGGGTTTGTGTGCACGTCCCACCACGTGGACGCCCCGTTGGCCACATCGCCCGAAATAGTGGAGTGAAAGCCGGACTTGTACCAGGATTCGTACGGGTGCGCCATGCCGACGCGCGGGTATAAAGTGTCTGCAGAAGAGTGAACTTTGGAAATGAACGCAGACTGTCCCGAGTCCTGCGACGAAACGCTGGTTGTGTTGGAGAACAAGCTGCTGTATTCGGCGGAGAAAGCCGAGGAGGTCGGAGAGGTCGAGGCCAGGCAGAACGCGCTGTTGCCCGCGCCGGTGGTGGTCGTTAGTCCGGAGGTGCTTCGGCTTGTGGCGACTGTGAATCCAGGCAGGCTGGAGCCCAAATTGCAGCTCGACGAGGATCTTTTCCAGGGGTGAAATCCGCCTTTGGAGAACGCACTGGAGTCGGGGAGAGTCGTGAGGGGACTGGTGTTGCCAATTTTGTTGCAGGTCGCAGCCAGCATCGCTAAAGGGGTAGTTCCAAACCGCGGCTCTTCCTGTGTGGATGAAAAGTTTGTGCTCTTTACTAGACTATAAAACATAGCTGGCTTGTGTGAGAATCAAATAGTTTTACAAGTGTCAATGACTCCCCCAAATAAAACCCAAACATCGAATAAAGCGCTCAATGCGCAGATTCATTTTTATTAAAGAGTTGTCTAAAAAGCTTTAGAAAATAATTGTACATATTCATTATGGTAGCCATTTAATAATTGCTAACACATACTTAATTTTAGTGCTTTGTTATTATTGTATTTTTAACCAAGAAGTGACCTTTCTGCAGTACAAATTAACGTTATTTCACAGATTATTCATATTTTATCGAAGTTTTTTTATAATTCTAAAAAAACTCCCTTTTCTTCATAAAAAACAAGAGCGTTTTCTTGAATGGAAAACATTTGTTTTAAGGAATGCATCTAAAAGTTACTTGGAGGTTTGAATGCGAGCAAGCAATAGTGACATGCTAACAACAACAACGATAAAAGAATAATAATAATAAAAAACGTCGAATTAAAATATATCAGAATTTGCGCACTTACCCCAAGTATAGACGTAGCCATATCCAGGGCCTTTCCTAGACAGCTAGCTGAAGAACAATGACTCAGTGTTCCAGTGTGACTGCGGGACAGTGCGCTGAAGCTTTACTCTCTCTACTCGTGTTGTATAGTGAGCGCGTGCTTTGAAGTACAGCTGGCTGCAGTGCTCAGCCAATCTGCGCGCGAGACGAGGCGCCTCCAACCAATAAGCGACGCGACCATGACAGAAATACTAAAGCTGCATGTCAATCAATGACTGGGGAACTGATCCCACTGTCAAGCAATAAGCCATCAGCTATTTTTCACCGTTTTATATATATATACACACACTCATGGCCATCAAGGCGCAGTTTCTGCACAGACTATAGTGCTCAGCTCTTATTGGTATTTAATAGACATCCTCCGATGGTAAGCGTCTCATCTTGATTTTATGCATGGTATCCTCAAATATCTGTGTCGTGTGTGTTGACGGATGCGCTTAAAATGGATTTTTATGATGTGCACTGCGCACAGCTTACGTGATCGCGTTATTGTTATTGTGTAGTTATTATTAGTCATTAATAATATTATTTAATGTACGCATCAAAACCCTACATTTAGGTTAGAGTCGTTAACGTTATAATGTGACGCGTTCACGTTTTGTGTGAATGCAAAGTCATGAGTATTACAGTGTCAGTGCACTCATCTGTTTTTTCTTAAAGAATATTTGAGTCCTTTTATACCTTAAGTTTGTTTAATATTTATAATATGTCGAACTTTCAAATTAGAGCACGCTGAAATGCAAGAGAAGGTCTTGGATGAAGAGGACGGAGTGACAACACTGCTCTCACAACAGGTGTGTTAGACTTTTGCTGAAAGTGTTGTGTATGTGTGTGTGCGAGAGAGAGAGAGAGAGAGGAAGAAGAGGGAGGGATGTGGGGGCGCAGGTTAGAGTTTGGGGTGTTAATGCGCGCGCGCGCTCCTTTAAATACCTTCAGAACCACACGCGAACACATGACTCCAACAAATCTTTTAAAATTAAACAACAATATTTTATTATGTTGCATAAATAAGTTAGAGCGTTAAATTAGACAATAAATAAATAATAATATGAACTATTCGGAATAAAAATATAAAACCACATTCTGAAGAATCACAGATCAAATCATTAATAATTAGGATACGTTTTCCCCCTCAGCACTGCTCTTTTGTATATAAAGATCAATGCATTATAGCAGTGTTTTGCGCTGCTTGTTAAAACATTTAAGGGTAATGACATAATGTAACAATGGTCTGCTTTGGAGTGAATCGCCTCCTTTTAAAAGTTAAAGCAATTTTCTTGAGAATGGCCCCGCCGAAACGCTGTGCATTACAGTATTCAAAATGACCAAATAATGCTCCATTATAGCGCTTGAACGCTGCCAGTCAGACTGGATGCAATTTACTCCGGAGCGCTTTGCTTTAAATTCCCTCCTATGGAGAGAGCTGGGGAATATAAAACAATTTATTCAAATCCGAGCGGCGGAGTCTCGAAAATCGCTTGATTTCCGCAATCACCGCAAATTGACGGAGGAACAATTAACACTATTAAACGTCTGTTCAGCATAAACAAATTGGCCTGAGGCACAGTAGAGGTTTAGGTTACATGTTTAGATGGCTATGTATATGCGCGCGCGCATGCATGTCTATTCACACTTGGAACCAAACGACTAATGTGCATTTCTTCGCAATTAATATATGACCTATTATATCCTCATTGACTGGTTTCTGTCAATGGAAGATAGATTGTCGGCATTCATATGTTAAAAAGGCTAAATGTAGTTATTTTATTATGAGGGACACTAAAAAACATTTTAAAAATGAATCTACATTTATTTATTTAGCAGATTTGTTTTTGTTTCGACAAACCCAAATATTTTGAATTAGCTTAAACGCATTAAACTGCGAGATATCATGAAGATGTTTAACTTGTTTTAATCTAAATATCTAAAAATAGATTTGTGTTATAAACACACACACACACACACACACACAGTCCGGCTTGCGAGCACCTTTTCCTTGCGTAATTAGGAGCCTATTACAAGTCATTAGATTGATCAATGTACCTTAAACAATGCGAGTGATTTATTTGGTAAGAACAAAACGCCGTGCATCCATTGTCTTGAGCCTGAGTGACGATATGCATCCATCACGGCCTTAAACAACACAAGATGAATGATTAATCCGGACCTATTCATTAAAAGGGTCTGGCCCGCTCCTCCAAAAACCCCTGCATCCGCGAAGAGAGGGCTTTTCAGAGGAGAATTTTTTGTCGGTTGCCGCTGGGATTAATTTGTCCCCACCCTTAAGAGGAAAAGCGCATTTGTGGATAATTAACTAATCTGGCTCATTTTAAATCCCTCTCTACTACAGGTCCTTCACTTGATCACCCCAAACAGCCTGGTTTCCTCCCTCTAACAATTCAAAGAGAGTCAAAACAAATATTAACTCACATCTCAGTTGCTTTTTTTTTTTTGGCATATAGTGTCACATCTCCAGGCACCTTGCCCCGCTTGGTTTTGTGATTAAATGTCTCTGTAAAACCAGCACCGTGTTTGCGCACTTGGTGATTTTGACAATAAAACAAACGCTCGTTATGTCCGTTGACAGGTTCGAGCATGTTCAATGAGCTCCCTAACCAAATACTGGCGTGGCATGAGGAATAAATCTACGTGCAAGCTGTGTTATTTCTAATAAACCCGTTTGAAAGGACACGGGGTTTTGTGGTGGCGCAAAACAAAAGCGCACGAAGATAAGCTCCTTTTATGTTTCCACACTCAAGCAAGAAACATTTATTTTGCCTCAATTATTTCAGGTAGATATAATTTATCCGATTTTAATATTTAAATGCATTCACATTTAATAGCCTCATAACTCAAATACTCGAAATGTTGTTGTCATTGTTTTTATTTCACGCTCACGGATCGCCAGTAACAAGTGCGCGCGCTGTGAGCGACAATCGGCTATACAAGCAACTCACCTGAAGATCACATTTTATTACGTGACAGCTATGAATATAGTTGTTGACAGTGCGCAATTAAACCAATCAAAACTACTTGTCAATCTATAAGGTGTAAACAGAGTCCAGCGTCAGGTGCATTTTAGGGGCCCGCAATCTCTCTCTCTCTCTCTCACTTCCTCTCTCTCTCTCTCCCTGCATTCTCATCACCCACGAGCATTTCATCTTAAAAACAGAAATGACTATAGGGTTACAGCCTTTTGTGCCATTTCGGTATTCAAACATGGTGATCTTATTATGATTTGATTATTTAGGGTTTTTTTTCGCTCGCAGTCAGACACAAGAGGCCGGATCTTTCTGACAGGCAGCACGCAGGTCATGGCGAATGCTGTCGTGTTTGTTCTTAAGTGGCCGGTGAATGTTATCTGCTATTCTCCGCGTGTCTGAGGCTCGTGTCACAATAGAGCAACGGTGACACCGCGCACATTAACGCATGACTACTTCTTGCGAATTTGCATGTGAATGTCATGATTCTTCCACCCTCTGTGTTAATGTCTGTAGCAGTGGGATACCATCATATGCTGTTTTTAATATTATATTTATTTTATAGATTTTAATATTATTATTATGGTTGTTGTTGATATTATTATTATATTTTAAGATTAATAATAAACTGGCCGCCTTGATGTCAACACGATATCCAAAAACACGTCAAAAATGAAAATCGATTTGATGTCAAAACCTTGACGTCTATTTGACGTCCGCACATTGATGCTCTTTTGATCAAAATAGTGACACAAAAAGTATCAAATATAAGTTACATTCATCTGAATGTTTCAATTCCAAGCGATACATTTACTGTTTATTTTGTATGCCTACAATGCATGAAAATGACATCTAATTGACATCTATTATCAATTTTCTGACCTCAATATTAGATGTCAATTTGATGTCGTTTTGACATCAAGTAAGTTTACATGCACTGTAAGCATACAAAACCCAGTGTAAATTTGTCATTTGTGATTAAATTATTCAAAAATATTTTTTTTTAGCTAGATCAGTTTTGGTCGTCAAAATAGCATCAATGTGCGGATGTCAAATAGACGTCAAGGTTTTGTCATCAAATTAATGTATTTTTTTAATGTCATTTTGTGCCCCCTGGAATTTGTTTAGCTTTTTTAGCTTTACATGCTGTTTATTAAGCCTCCGAGCAGGGCATTTGTCCCGGTTGCTCGGTGTCTCGGGACTCGGTCGGGTCTGCGGCGCGCGGAGGATCCAGCTCAGATAAACACACGCGCCAACAGGTGCTTAGTGAAAAATCCCTCGGTTGACGGAGCTGCCGCGGCTCCAAAACTACACGAGCGGGCTGCCGTCTGTAATTTCCGCCGCAGAGGGACGGTGGTGTGTGGAAGCAGGACTGCGGTCCACCACTGCTCATCTCTGCTTGACCGTGTGACTGACGGCTCTGTCCAATTGGGTTTGGACTCGTCTGAGATCTCCAGAGGCGTGAGGGATTTATTACTTATCGCCATTAAGAAGACAGAAGCTGATTGAATTAATTAGTCTGTATCCCTTATGAAATATTAACATATTAACAAATTAACACAATGTAGCCTTTTATTCTACTCAATATCATTCTGTGGCATTCTAAAAATGACGTTTGCTTTTTTTGTTCGAACTACTTATTTAAAATGAGCTGCAACAACTCATTCTTGAGTTTTTTTTGGCGGGACAAGGTATTGTTTTATGTTCAATCCTCTTTAAATTGCAAACACTAAGTTAACTTGATTCCATCATGCTGTCTCAACACAAATCGATTGTATGGAATCCAGCATACAGTGTATTAATTGTATGCACACTGTAAAAGAATGCACACTATTTATTCATGTTGTCCCGACACAAATCGATTAAGTAAACTTGATTGTTTTTACAAATTAAGTGGATTGAAGATAAAACAATTAAGTTGTCCCCACCAAAAATGTAATACTTGTGATATTCAACTCATTTTAAAGAAGTACTTTGAATATGCAGCAATTTAAGCATGAGGATACATGATAAATGTAAACCTGGACTACAAAACAAGACATAAATGTACAGTTTTGGTATTTGAAGTTTATCATCTAAACATTGCATGGTACAGTATGTTATGATTTATTAAAAAAAAAAAAAAAAAAAATATATATATATATATATAGTCAAGATACTGTCAAAAAGTTCACCAAACTAAATATTGCAAGGCATTTTACTAATCAGAAATTCAGTTTTGATATATTTACAGTTCGAGATGTGTTCAATTGAGCATTATATATATATATATATATATATATATATATATATATATATATATATATATATATATATAATGCTCAATTATATATATATATACAATATATATATATATATATTGTGCTTGTTTAAACTACTTATTCAAAATGAGCTAAAACAACACAATTCTTGAGATTTCACATAATTTTTCATGTTCAATCCACATAAATTTGTCAAAAGTGTTATTAACTTAAGCAATTTGTGTTGGGACAACACAAATTAATTATGTGGAACCCTGCATTTTTCAGAGTGTACAATGTAAAAAGAATGCACACTATCTATTACTGTTGTCCACACACAAATCGATTAAGTTAACTGGTCCCACTTTATATTAAGTGTCCTTAACTACTATGTACTTACATCAAAAATAAATACATTGTACTTACTGTGTTTATTATGTATTTGAGAACACTTGTGGTGCTCTTGAGTTGGGATAGAGCTTGGGTTATGGACAGGTTTGGTGGTATGGGTTGGTTTAAGGGTGGGTTAAGGTGTAGGGAATGGTCAGCAGTGTATTTACAAATGTAATTACA